CCAGTATTTATTCATGATATGTTTGTAAATATCAGTATTAAAGTTTCAAGAATTGGCTATTGTTTGGGGTCAATCAAATAGTAGTACATGTAGGTCAACTACAGAATTAATATAGTTGTTGTCATACATATAGTTAATCAGTATCTGTTAATTTTTGACAAACAATGACACTTTAAATAAAGTATAAAGGGAAAGCTGTTGGATGACCTGTAAGTTTGAGCTCAAGGCAGGTGTGACCAGTCAACAGGGGATGCTTACTCCTCCATGGCACCTGATCCCACTTCTGATGTTTTCAAGGGTTAGCTCTGCTCTCTATTTGTATTGTTTTAATGGGACTTTGAGCATGATTACTGTTTGTTATCTTCAAATTTCATTTAAAAGGTTAAGATTAAAAGTAGGGTTAAAACTTGTATCAAAATAAAATTAATAAAATTAAATAATTTCGAGGATATCACACGAAAATTGATAAATAATTCTATAACATGTTTGAATACAAAATAAGTTAATTGTAATTTTTGTGTAGTTAGTACTTTAACCTTCCAAAGTATCTCAAAATATACTTTAATTTTGATTAACTGGATGAAGGTTACAGACAATTGCCCCCCCCCCCCCCCCCCTTCAATTGATAATGTCACTAAAAATTGAGGTTTTGAAATCATTTTACATTTACATGTTCATATCGTAAAAGTAGGCCATATTGTCAAGGCCTTATAGTGATGGACAAAAGTATAATAGGAAAGGTCCTAAAATTCTAAAAGCTGCATAATAGACAGTATTCACTGCTAGCATGGAAGTACATACAATGCATGTAGTATTAATTATTTAAATCAAATAACTTCAATGATAGTTTCAAATAATATTTATTTATCAAATATGTAAATAACACAGCTGCACCCCCCCCCCCCTTTCATAACATTTTAAACTCTAGGGAGGAAAGGAACTGACATTTTCTTATTGTCAGGTAACCTTGGCCTCTCAGGCCCATTTTTGGGTTAGGAAGTTAATGCCTAGACATTTGACCTTTGCTATACTTTATATTGATGATTACTTCTGGACAATTGAAGCAAAGTCAGCGGAATGTAAAAAGGAATTTTTTTTTTATACTTTACATGAGTTATGCCCCTCACGAAAGAAAATGATAATTATAAGCACTTAGCTGTAAATATTGATATATTCCAGATTGCCTGTAGGTATATAAGTAAGAATAAGCAGGTAAATCATACTTAGAAAAGGAGGCCTTCATGTATATAAGTTCAAAATATTTTAGTTGGATTTCTAAGTGAATTAACTGCTTTTTCCAAATTGCTTGTGCAGAGCTCCTGGTAAATTCTAGCAGGGTTGTCTCACAACAGAAAAATCTGCATGTGTACATAGATTTGAATATTAATTGAAGTTCTCTTTGTGTGGTAAAATCGCATCTTTGATATACAACTTTTTGTGTAAACAGACAGTTATTAGCCAAGATTATGGTATTAACTCCGAGTATGGCTTTATCTTTTTCCAGCAAGTCATATTGGATTGGTTTATCAAACTTTCGATTTAAGATTGAATTCAAGTCATGCAGTCTACTTGTAAATTTCAAACTAAGACACTTTGCCATGAAAAATGTAAAGGTCCTTATAACTTTTACACCTTAGTCATGCATGTTGACACAATCCCATAAAACAACATTTTCAAAGCTGGGTACTGCATCAGATATTGACATTAAAATGTATAATAATGATCTAATTAATGATTGATTGATATGAATATCCAGTAATATTTATGGATAAAAAAATACCTAAAATTAAGGTAATATTAATAGAGGATATTCAATGTTTTGTAGTTGGATATGGAATTTATTTCATGAGTGGGACAGGATTTTTTCATACTTTCAAGAGTGTGAAGAAAGAGGGTTTTGCTGCACTTCTGATATTCTTCACAGTGAAAAAAATATCACTGTAATTCTTAACCTGGCTACCAACAAATGACTCTAATTGGAAAGTTATTGAAACAGGAAAAGACTATTAAACAAAACTGTAACTTTTAAAAAATTACAACAGATGCACTAGAAAAATTAGCATCTTTTCAAATCTTTCCGTATGGTGTTTGATTAAATAAATTGATTTTCACTGGGAAAAGGAAAAAACTCATCAAAGCAATTAAATCAAACATCTTTTTTTTTTAACCTTAGACCAGAAAAAAGAAATTGATACAAAAATATGGCTATATTCCCCTGCTTACTTTTTTGGTGTTTGTATTTCTATCAATGTCTGAAAATAGCAAGGAATTTTAGCTGCATCCAATAAGCTAAGGGAGTCCACAGGAAATTGTATAAATTTTTACATAAATCTTTAAATTTAATCATTTAGAGCAATAAAAGATTGTCAATTTGCCTACTTGTAAAGCATCACTGAATGAGTGGTGCCGTAGTTGTGTATGATTTATGGACGAATATGTCAACAATTTCTTTTCTGTGGTTTTGGAGCAACAACTTCCAACGCACCTGCTAAAACAATTCTTTCTGAAGACACGTGAGCTTAATAAGTTTTTTATTAATATTTTTTAAGTTGTTCAAGTTTTCCTTTTCATTACGGAGTCATTGCTGGTTCGGAGTCATGGCTGGTTCAATTGTGTGGGAGGACATTTCAATATTTTTTATTGTAGCCCTCACAGAAGTGACACAATCTTGCGATTTTTATTTAGCGAAGGTGACGTCTTGGGTGGCAGAGATGATTTTGATAAATTCTCCAAGAGCACAACCTGCACAAAAACATAATTACTTAGTGTCCTATAAATGACGAGGGAAGCCATGAACATCAGGAATATAAATGTATTATTTTTTTTAATTGCAGTGTTAGGAACATGTTTTTATTCATACAACCATAAAATTAAACTTAGGCTGACTTCACACAAGTTTTGAAATTGGTAACAGGAAATGCTAAAAATGGTATCAATTTTATGTCTTTTCTGCCAGTCAACAGATCAAACAGTAGATAAAATGCTGTAGTATTTTTGAACCATCATAAACATAGTGCAAGAATGCAAACCGTGATAACCAAGAGAAGCTAATGACATTTAAGGAGCTAAAACACAGCAAAATTATTGTACAAGGAAAGTTTTTAGATACTAGACGAGTAAAATAAACTTTCTGGTTTGAAAAAGAACATGTAGAGCTTCATGGAAAAAACTGAACTATGTGGGTTGTTTTGGTAAATATCTCTTGGATATTAGAAAGAACTTGCAAGCCCTGTCGAGCTAGTGCAGCGAAATTAGAACACCTCTCCCTAAATTAGTTTTGCACTGATGCCTGATAAATGAATTGCAATGGGGATGACAAAATGTTTGGTTGCTCTGCAAATTTCCTTAGAAATGGAAAAATCAATGAAAGTGAAAACTTTTTTCTAGATCCATACATGTCTTAAAAAAAAAAAAAACTAAACTGCACAATATTGGAACCTAACACTTCTTTAGTGAGAAAGGTGTCACCTCTTTCATCTATGTGTCACATTGATGGTGTCCTAATTGGGAAGGCAAGTATTAAAGTGTATGTATGTATTCAGACATCAAAGGGGAGTTGGATAAAAATGGATGATTGCTTATAAAGCCATGAACATAAGTACCAGTTATATACGTACCTTATTAGCAATACCTCAACCTGTGCCAGAACTCATTGTTTTTCATTTGTTTGATGTTTGAGAATGGATTTACATACAAAAAAGGCCTGCGTGGTGCAGTGGTTAGAGCGTTTGCTCTAGAATCACGAAGGAAGGAGTTAATTCCTACGATCACGGGTTCAATTCCACTGTGTGATGTGGATTTGGTCCTTCAGATGAGACCGTATAAAATGAGGTCCCATGTCACAGTAGGTGCTGGCACAAAAAAGATCTTGCGCACTGCTCAAAGGCTGTAAGTGCCGAGTAAAGGTCTAAATTAATGCAGCCCTCCACTGGCAAGTGGTGGCATCTCAATATGAGTGAAAAATTCTAGAAGAGACATTAAACAAACAAACAAACAAAACATGCTGAAAAAATAGTATTTGAAGGATAACATTTAATAATTTTCATTACTACATGTATAACTAGTATCAAATATACACTGCTCTAATGATATTATTATGGTTCTGTGAACTTTCGTCTAAACTGGATCATTCTTTGTGTGTATGTCTGTCTGAAATCGTAAAAAGCATTAAATGGTCAATAGTATCTTGCAAGACTGCTACAAACAGACATTTTCCCCTTTATACTATGAAGGACTTTAAGCATTTAGTATTAGTAAATTGAGAGTAAACATTTAAAAGCGTCTAGTGAACCTTCTATTGGTTATATTTAGCATTATCAGTAGATATTTAAAATATTTTAATGGAACAAACGCATTTACATTTATTAGTAACAGTATGATGAGGGTCACATACACGTGGTAGCTGAGGGATTCATTGATAAGTTGGTTATCAGTCAATGTAGTAGCCTGAAGTATTGAGTGTAGAGGATCCAGAAAACACTCTAACCTGTTCAGATAAACCTCTCATTCATGTGACGGATGCCGTTTTAATTTTTGATAACATTTTATTTATATTGACTGACTTTTAGTTTATGACCCTTTAAGTGAAACATTTTTTTCCTTTTATTCCCATTGATTAAAACTTTAAGTTGACCCCTAAAAAAAGTAAAAATTTTAATTCCCCCCCCCCTTTTTTTTATAAAGCTTCGTTATTTGAATACAATTCATGTAGGCGAAGGTGAAACATATTTCATAAATATACAGTGTGTGTTTAATAGCTGTTAATTACACATTTAAAATCTTGAAAATAATTTTATTACAGTTTAAAAAAAAAATCAATGTACATGAAAGGTAATCAGATGTAGATAAGTTGGCAATGTGATGGATACTGTATTAGTGAGAATAAGTATTCAAGTAGATTTCTCTTCCTAGAAGGCTCTTAAATTTGTTGAATATCTTTGAAATAAGTCATAGCTAGGCAAAGTGTTATATAATCTTTTTATTCCCCTTTTATTTTTTAGATCCATCCCTTGAGTATCTGCAGCAATGAACTCTCCACAGAGAAGTTTGAGTACGGATGGGTTGGTGTGATGAGATTGGAACAAATGGACACACCTTGCATGTCACTTTTTCAGCAGGTATTTACAGCAGATTGATGTGCATGTACATGATGCAGGAAGATATTGTTATTGTGTACTGGGGAACAGTGATGTCCAGTGTTTTAAGCTGGAAAATTTTGTCTAGTTGGAACAAATTGATCTGCCCCTTACCCCTTCCACACTTATTATAAAATCTCTAACATAAAGGCAAATTTTTCATCTATCAAAATACACAGTCATGTAATAATGTACCCACAAACAGTGCTAATAAACCTTGATTTGAATTGGGCTTTAATTAGCTTTTTGATGACTTTACCTTTGAACTTGACTTTACTTTAAATTGTTAGTTCTATTGGTCAGAGACCAGGGAAGAGGTTATGGGATAGTAATTAGTGTCCGTCACCTGTCTGTGAACAATTTTTCAAAATGTTACTCTTCCTACAGTTTTGGCCCAATTTCAGTGTAACTTGATACACAAGTAGTCTACATTAAGATAAATAATTTTGTTTATCAGTTTTTGATTTCATTAAAGGGTGTTGCCAGAGTTACTGGAAATAGAAATTTCTGTGAAATTCTTTCAAAATGCTATATTTCCTACAGTTTTGGTCTGATTTCAATAAAACTTTCTACACAGGTAGACTTTGATACATAATTCTTTATATCGGTTTTGATTTTGATGAATGATGTTACTAAAAATCGAAAATTTCTGAAATTTGTTCAACATGTTCAAAATGTTTCCTCTCGTGCAGTTTTAATCTGATTTCAATAAAACTCTCTACACAAGCAGATTACACTAATGTTTATAATTTGATATATCGGTTTTTGGTTTCGATAAATGATGTTGCCATGGTTACTAAAAATAGAAATTTCTGTGAAATTCTTTCAAAATGCTACTCCTCCTACAGTTTTAGTATAATTGCAATTAAATTTACCTCAAAAGATGCTAAATCAAGGATCATTATTCTATTTTTGTTGCTGTAGTTTCAAGTCCAAGTCTTGTGTTATAAGTACAAACCAGTAGAGCTACAGTCTCATCAGAGACTTCTGGTTTTTGCAATTAGCTCATTTTCTTGAATACATGAAGGTTCTTGTCATATGCTTGCATACAAAACACAAGGAAATCTTGGCCACATCATTTCAACAGTGCTCTGATTCTGACCATCCCTTGGACCACAGTTTACCTGATTATTAGTTCTACTGGTCAGCATTTGGGTATTGAAAGGTTGCACCAAAGGTCATTTTACTCACATCGGTCAATATTTTAATGAGCTACGAAATCTTCTCTTCTCATTCTACCAAAGGCCAGAGTAGGAGAGGATCATAAATTTTGGCAGTGGTTTGCAACGATGAGCACTACCTGTCTCTTGTACAAACCAGTAGAGCTACAATTAGAGACTTCTGGTTGCAGTACATTCATACCATCTGTAGTTATTTTTAGTGTAAATTATGTATAAAGTCATATGCTTATAATATGAGTTTATTGCCATACCAGATGATTATATTCGGGAATGTCTCAGGTACTGGTACACTAATCTTTTTTTTAACCTTATTTCTGGAAAGTTATTTGAGTACAAATAAGTCTCTCTGCTAGGTCACATTTTATGCTGTTGGTCATAATAAAAATGGATTTCAGATGTTATTTACTGTCTGCATCACAAATTCCACTGAGCTGTAGGAAACAAGGTTTTCATTCTGACAAAGTGTTTAATTATCAGGCAGTAAGTGCATTACAACCCAAACTTGTCAATTTTTTTTCCAGACTGGTAGTTTGATAGGTATTTTTATATATCTGGCTAAAGTTTTGCACAACCAGTCAGTAGAAATATACCCTCTGAAAACATTCATCAGATTTTTTTAAAGAGTATATAGACTAGACCTTTTACGTAAATGATCAGATTAGTCGAGTCCAGCTCTCCTGGTTTACAGACAGTAACATGTAATGCACTTGAGAGGAAAAGATAAATATTGAACAGTTTTATTGAAGGTCAACACCAGGTTATTACAAGTGTTTAGTGTATCCAGCCCTGAAGGCCACCTGCTGAGAAGAGTCTAGAAAAAAAAGTCAGCCATTGAATGTTTGTGTTTTTGGCTGGAAGGTTTTTTTAGTAGGAATTTATCAACATGTATTCATATCAAAGAAAAATAACACAAATCAAACACATGTCTGATTAGTTTCACTGAATACTTTGATTTGTCAATATTTTTGCAAGGTTATAGCTAGATTAGGGTCAAGGAACAAATTAAGAATTCAGTAATTCTTTAGAAAAAAAAATTACAGATGCAGTATGGTTAGATCTGCATTAGGTCTAATTATTTGTGAAGAGTTGCAAATTCTTCTGAATTTCAAAATGCATCATTTGGCTGGACTTCACCTTTTCTTATTGCATGTACAACTTTGTAACGGGTACAAATGAATGTGTCTCTTAATTTGCTTTTCCTTGGCTGTGTACCACTTAGTAAGGGGTATATATGAGGGGATAAGATAATAATCCCATGATCAAGATCAAAAACTTAATCACTCAGAATATGCAGTTAAGACCATCATGTATCAATACAAAACTTAGCCCCCCTTGTGGGAGAGGAACTTTGTCTGGGGAGAGATAAACTGAGAGATTTAGTGGAGTGGATGCTTCGTCCTGGACATGAGGACTGTTATGATAAAAACATCTCTCATGCCGACAGGGGTAGTCCAGCAGACGACAACTGTTTTGACGAATATTTCCTCCTTAGACGACTTCTCTTTAACACAGCTGTTGTGATCTACGTCTTGTGTCGGGGCCCAAAATGGTGTGTCCTTCTTTCCAATTTTTAATACTGTACCAAGTCTTGAAAGTCTCAGAACTTGTGATTCAGAGCTAAAATTACCTCTCAACAAATCAGAAGTGGACAGCAAATTAGAATTTAGAGCAGAAAAAGCAGTTCGACAGGATAGAAAAAAAATCTGGGAAAAAAAAATTTCCAGCATTTTTCCTTCTTTTATATCCTCTGCCCAGGAGTGTTGTACGGCAAATGCAAAAGATCTGTCAGCAAGTTAATTGTCACATTAAAGGATTACATTTCATGTGATAGGCACTGTGAGAAAGAGATAAGAATTTATGGAATGAGACCCCTTGTAACACTGTTGCACTATAAAATAATTTAGATCATAACGAACATGAAGTGTCATACCTGAAGAACAATGCTATATATCAACTTGCATGATTAAACACATATGTATAGTTCAGTTAAATTTCAAAGAAACCTTAATGACTTCAGATTTAAATATTTACTTACTGTATGTACATGTCCCTATGTCACAAGATAACACAATACATATGTGTTAATGAGGGTAAGATATGGGTCTCTGACTAATTTCAAGAGTATAATTTTGTCATTGTGTAAGGTAAAAATCATTACATAAGTTTGTCGAAAAAATTGGATAATTAAATACATGCAGACTTGATGTTGGCAATCACTTTAAAGTAGGTTAAAAAAATCAAGGACATTTATAAGTAATTTTTTAAATATATACTACTGATACAGTGCAACGACAAGATTTCCTTGGCTTTTGAATGTTAAGAAAAGATAAATGATGTTTTTCAAGGAACTGTAAAATTAACCTGTGGAAAGGAAAGAACCAAAAATAGAAAGATAAAAAAACTTACTGAACATTAATTTTATAAGTTGATTATGATTCAGGCTAATGTCATTAATACTTAGTTAATTTAAAATTTGTTGCCACAAATCAATTAACTTATGAAATGAATAGAAATATATAAAATATTTCTTTAACATGAAAGTGATATAATAGGAATTTTCAGTAAGAATAAGTGAGTTTTTTTGGAAAGGGGGGGGGGGGGTATTATGGAGATATAATCAACCTGAGGGCTTCAGAGCCGCTTTTGTAAGAATTATGCACTACAGGCTGGTTATCATCGTCAGATACCCTTGGGTGATCTTGTCTTTTACTCATTACCCATGAGCAAAGTCGCCGAAAAATTGTCGTGTGTAATTAATATGCGCAGGTCATTTGATTGGCTGCTCCACAGAGTCGTGATGGCAAATCAACATATTAAAGTTTACGTTAAATGTGTATGTTCGGCAATAACAAAAACTTTTCCATAGTTAACACAAGAATTGCAAATAAATCCACTCACTGGTGCATTTCGCAGTTTGAGAAAGGTACTCCCATATAATTTCTTACTGGTATTTGATGTAAGTGACCTGTAAGATTTGTCTCTAATCGTTTAAAAACAAAATTTGCACCTTTTAATGAATGTCAAGATGTTAAGTATACTGGTATATAGCAAACTAATAAACATATTTTCAAAATTGAAGAGTTCCAATTTTCTAATTGGTTGTCTATAATCAACAAATTAGCTTATTTTACGATGATTTTTCGGCGAGTTTGCCCAGGGGTGATGAGTAAAAGATGAGATCACCCGTTTGAATCCGATGATGGCTGATTATCATCTTCATGAACTTAAAACTTTTCTCTTCGGGTACACTACAAAAGCTGGATAGGCTCATTTTTTTGAGAAGATAAAAAAATATTTAACATGTTAAAATGAGATTATTATCTCATTATAATAAGTCAATATCTATTATAAGAAGTAAGTATCTCGTTATAATGAGTTAGTATCTCATTATAACAAGTTAGTATCTCATTATAACGAGTTATCTCATAACAAATCAGTTGTCTTGTTATGGACAAACACCACCAAATGTTTTCCTATACACTTCCAAAGTTGAGCTCCTGTCACTGATTCATATATTGAACTTTGGGAAAATGAATTTCTTGCCTTGAAAGTTCGAGATCTTGCAAAACAAAACATGCCAGGAAAAATATACCGTGCCACACACTTTTTACTTTCAAATTCCATTTGTTTACAATTAAGTGCGTTCAGCACCAAATGAAAATCTCTAACCGAAGTGCATCCCTCCCTTCAAATTTTTACCTGTAACTCCTATATATCTCAAAGAAGCATAAGTCTTGATACGAGATTTTTATCACCTTTATTTCACTTTTCGAATTCATAACAAGTCTTTTCTCTTAGTGACCAATCATGTGCCCTACAGCTGTAGCATTTTCTTCTCCGCACAACTTTGGGTGTCCAAAATGTCTTAATTTCTTGGCCATTCATAGATGTTAACCGCAGTTGTTGACATCATGCCACCTTGTTATGGAGCATAACCCCAGATTTTATGATGACAAAACATTGCCAAACATAAATGTATACTATCAATTGATTTTGATACACATTTGTCTCAGTACATGGAATGTTTTGTAAAAAGTTTTGACTTCTATCTCCTCAACTAAAATGGATAAATCCATCTATCAAATGACAATTTCAGAGATAAAATTGGAGATAAAAATGAAAGTCAAGCAAATCTTGTATGAGTAAAATGTTAAATCTTTGTTATAGATGAAAAATGAAACATAGTACTTTATTAATTAAAGCAGTGATGATGCAAATAATTCTAGGTAAATTGATTCAATGCATGTATTTTGTAGGCAATGAAAGCCATAAGGAATGGAGCCACAGCTGTTATATTTGACATCTCAGAAGTCCCACAGGCAGCCAGACAGGTAAAAAAACTAAACTGCAAAAGTGTGTTAATCAAAATTGTATTGAACATTGGAAAAAGGTTAAGGAGATTATTATGTCCCCATAATCAAAGACTCTGGGGCATGTAGTTTTTGCTGTGTCTGTCTGTCTGTCTGTCTGTTTATCTGCAAAAACTTTAATCTTACCCATAAGTTTTGATTGGTTGGAACTAGGGCTTTCATATTTCATATGTGTATTCCTTGTGACAAGAGCTTTCTTGAACATACTTGATCTTTTGACCTTGACCTTGGAGTTTGACCCACTTTTGCAGAATTTTACCGAACTTAAACCTTGGCCATAACTTTTGAACAGCTGGTGTGCTAGGGCTTTCATACTTCACATGTTTACTCCTTGTGATAAGACCTTCCCTTGGGTACAAATATTTTTTACCTTGACCTTTGAGTTTGACTTACTTTTGAAAAAATTTAATATTGACCAAAAAGTTTGAAAGGTTTGACCTAGGGCTTTCATATTTCACATGCTTATTCCATGTGGGAACCAAAAATTTTGACCTTTTGACCTATATCTTGGAGTTTGACCTACTTTTGAAAAAAAAATTAACCTTGGCCATAAATTTTGCATGGTTGGTGATAGGGCTTTCATATTTCACAGGTAATATATCTGTAATAAGACCTTTGCAAGTACATGTACAATATTTTTCACCTCATTACCTTGACCTTGGAGTTTGACATAGTTCTTGAAAAGCTTTAACCTTGACCATTATCTCTGAAAGGTTGCTGCAAGGGATTTTATATTTCAAATGTGTATTCCTTGTGACAAGACCTTTCTTTGGGTACCAGCATTTTTTATCTCTTGACCTTGGAGTTTGACTTGCATTTGAGATGCTGTATGTGAGGAGGTTGGGGGGGGGGGGAGAAGTTGCTAGTATGAACTTTTAAAGGCTTTTCATTTTATAGAAGACTTAGTTAACAACATATACTGTAGTATTAATTTACATTTCTCTCTTTGTGTTGAACAGTTAGAGAAATCACCAGAACTTCAGTTGGAGAGGCCAGTCATCATTATACAGGGAGCTCATGCCAAGAAATTAATGAACATTATCCGGACTGTCCATGATGCAAGAGCCAGAATCAGGACCAAACATGTGGAAGTCAACACAGTCAGTATTTATTTGTCATCCTTATGAATTCCTCTCCCCTCCAACAGGAGGGAAGGGACATTTTTCTGCTGGTCTCTCTGTCACAAATTTAATCTTTGTGGGTTTTTTACTTTTTTCCCTAATTACTCAATTAAAATGGTCATTTACTGTTGGCCTTCACCTTAAGTTTTATCCTTATTGTAATCAGTTAAATTTCAAAGTCAATGTTTTTAAGGCAATGTGATGTTAGTATTGGGTGCAATTAATTGAATGAATTAAAACTTACATGTAAGTTCATAATTTTATGAAGATTTTATCAAGGCCATTGGGGATGTAAATGGGGATAAAGAAGAAGTTCTATGTTGTTAAAGAAATATGTTGTTTTTCTAAATGAATAACAAGAAATATAGTATATAAAAGCTTACAAGCAACTCATTGGTTGATTTTCATCTTTTTTTTTCCAGAGCAATAACAAGGAATATTTTGACATGTGGATATTTGTGGCAGTCTTTGTCCTTGTTTGCTTTATTATTGTAATTATAGTCATTAAGGTAAGTACCCAGTTTTAAATCTAATGTTTCCAATTACATATTATATTTACGATTTAGACAAAAATGTTACAAAAACTATAAAGTTAGAAAACTGATACATACAGAACTAAATGCAATCCATTTGGTGCAAGTGAATTTTAGTGCAAGGTAAATGTTTGTCCCAGAAAAATTCTCTGGTGGAACTAATTTAGTGTAAAATATACAGAAGTAATTGCTCAAAAGGTGTCACAAAAGATTATGCATGAAACACTTTTGTTTTAAAGTATATTGCAAAGACTGCATTGACTTGATTTTAAATTAAAATTGTATTTAAAAAAATCTTTTTCATATACAAGCAATGATATATTGAATGCATGTTTTAAATATGGTTTATATTTCTTTTTTCAGTTGAAATGGAGGTCAAGGGAAAGTCAGGTGAGGAATAGTGAATAATTTGTAAATCAAAGCTAATTAAAAATTAACAACAATATACAGTTGAACTTCAGTATTTCAAACATCAATATCTCAAATGTAATGAATATACTAAAGTCAGTTTGAATTCTTAACCACCTTTTCTCTATGTAATTAAACCTCAATATTTCGAATTTTCTAACAACTCTTAAGTTTTTTCTCAGGCCCATTGAGTTTGAGATAATGAGATTTGACTGTATGATCATTTTAAAAAAAAAAATTCTTTACACTTTTTCTATATTTATAGGTTTCAATGCCAGAGTTGGCCAAGAGAGCAATTTCAAAGTTAGAAACCAGAAAGTACAAGTTCCCATCACCTAAATTATTAAGAGTTCCCTCCCCTGTGTCAGATGTGTACAGCTACGGCTCGACTCTGGAGCAGTGTGCAATTTGTCTGGAGGAGTATAAAGAAAGCCAGGTACTTCATTAATCATATGCATTCAGATTAGAGATTCATTGATTCTGACAACATAAAAGTTTTCCCTAACTAATGGATGGATGTTTATATTTCATCATTTGATAATTTGAACAACCAAACTTAGATCATCACATTTATACCTGTTCCACTTCATTTAAACTAACATCTGATAAATTCAGAAGTACTGTATATTTTGATTCTATTCAAAATTTAGTGCAAAAGTAGGCAGAAAGTTTTTGGTACATTTTGAGTCAAAAGAGGGTTAATCAAATTTGAATTTGTTGATAAGTTGTATAAAAAATTCTGTAATAATAAAAAAAAATATGTAGGAATGTTTGCCAATTGTTGAATTTTAGTTTTAAACTTAAAACAATTTTTTCATCATTGATATATATATATATATATATCGCAGATTTTACGAGTCATGCCATGTTCACACGAGTTCCACAGAGACTGTGTTGACCCCTGGCTGGTCGCTAACAGAACATGTCCGCTCTGCATGTTCAACATTGTTGGTAAGACTTAACATCTTTCTTATCATAGCAAAAAGATGAAGACTAAAGAAAGATAAATCAGAATTGTTTAGGTAAATAAGAGATGAGAAGGCAATGTTGTAAACAATAGGTAAATTTTTACACAGAGTCAGAAGAATTACCTCTCTTGTTTTTTTTACAGCCAATGATACAGGGGAGCAACCTGTGCGCACCAGTGACAGACAAGACAATCACAGCAATACCCTGTATGACCCCACTCCTCATTCTGTTAACCTGCAAAGAAATCCAATTTATGATGTCTACCAGCAACTACCACACCCAAATTACCTCCAGTACATGCAACCCAGCAGTTCAGGAGAGAGAAATCACAGGGCTCTCTCAGATCAACCAGGACTTCACAGAAAACCCACTGTCCTGATCCATAATGGCTGCCATTCCTGTGAAGGGACAGTGGGTTCTTCTCAGTCATCAGGGAGTTCTTTCTTGAGAGAGTACTGTCCAGCATTAAACAAACAATCTTTTCAGAGGCCATGTATGTACCATAATTATCCAAAATACTCAAAACAAACATACCATCATAAACACTGTTGTTACAGATATATGGAAAAGGGACTAGTGTTTCACTGTTCACACTCAGCACATAGGATACATCACTGTTCAATTTCCAAATGTGTGTCCTCCTATAATCACCGGAAAGCTTGCTATCAGCACCAGAGGAAGAGCTTTAATGACTACAGTAGAAACAAAGTTTGTCCTTATCGATGTCCTCACTGTAAGCTTTCTGCCAAAGCATGGGAAAGTGACTCCGATAGCTCCTCTGCCGAAAGTGGAAAAAATGTAAGCATCATGGCTGTTTATGGCAGTTCTAGTAGTACGGATAGTTCCCAAGGAAATCCCAGTGTGGACAGTTTGGAGCATGAAGTTTGTCGGTTGTGTAATCCCCTGGATAGCAATCATTCGACCTATGGAAGTAGTGACCAAAGGGAAATAACAGACAGCAGTAGTTGTGATTCTAATGTGTTTGTGGCGGTAGATCAGACTAATGGTAGTTCTCTTCCATGTCCTCTGGAAAATGTGCAGATAAACAGTGATAGTCTCTTACAGGGCAATTCAATTCTCAAGACTGTGACCACCACGCAGTGTTTGAATTTTAACCCCGAGTGGGAGAATGAAAACATGTGTAGTTGTACTTCTAGTAATAATGAAGGGGATGACCATTCCAAGGAGAGTGACTCCACATTAAATTTGAGTGAAATCAGTGGAACATGTCCGAGTCTGACCAGTTCTGTTAACACTCTGGATGGAAATCAGCAGCTCTGTCATTGTGATTCTCCGGATCTCTCGTTAAGTGAGATTTCTGGAATAAGTGCATATATCAGTACTGAAAACCTTCACTCTGAAACTAGTCATACTCTTGTAAATGAACCTTTAATACCAAAGACGGAGAAACAGGACGATCGTAAACCATGGTCTGTTTCTTGTGAGCACATAGGTTCTTCATCACAATGTGAACCCCCAACCCCATCATTAAATTACATGAGATTACAGGAAGCTTTTAGTTGCCCTGCAGAAATGTGTTCAGCAGAACAAACTCTTGGTTGTGATCAGGTTGTGAATCCTAACTATACAGGATACACTGCATCAACCAGTGGTCTCTCACTGCAGAATCAGTTTCCTACTAGTTACCAGTCCAATTTGCCAAAGCAGTCAATGGTGATATACTCAGAACCAAAAGGTGAGTAAAAAGATAAGATAGGAAAGGACAACCTTGTCTGTAGATTTTTTTGAGGTTACATGTATTTCAGGTATCTTTCATTATACTTCCTCCAACCTCTAATTTTAGGGGGATTATAGAAACTAAGGTCATTTAAATGAAGTACAGGATTTAGAAGTGTAAAATTCCTTTCTATGACAAAACTGTTAAATAATTATAGATGGAAAAAATATGTAGGGAGCAGAGGGTGTGTCATGATCAAAAATGAATCATTTGATTTTTTCACAGGGTTGAGAAGTGTAAATTATAATACAGTAAAAGCACAAGGTCATGCTTAGCACAATGATTGCTTGTGACCATAGGGTGTGCATTGACTCTGAGCTAAGGCCATGTTGGAGAAATCTCGGCGTACCTTTCCAGCCAGAAATGATTAGCGGGTATAACCTGTCTGGGATACGTGTATCCGCTCACATTCAGTTAAGAAATAAGTACATATAGTACATGTACCTCACCTGTATAAGTACCAGACTTCAAATATAGGAGTGTGCAATCGGCCATATTCAGGGGTCAATTGGTTGTTATCTTTTAACATGTATAGTTATCATATCAGTACATTGTTTGCAGGTTGTAGTCATTTTCTTCTTAAGTTCTTATAGCTATTGTGAGAAAAGTACAATACTGTGGTCCAAATAAGTTATAGATGGAGACATGAGTGGGTTTATGCCCTTGCAAGTCACTTTTGTTATACATTTGCTAAGATAACATTAGAAATATGCGTATTGCCAAATTTGGTGAATAGGGATTTTCATTGCCTACTTTGACACAAGACCTTAGCATAAATAGTTATTTGAATTTCACTTTTTATGCACTGTATGTGTATAGCAAAGAGTAAGGAAAGGGGGTTGTATGATTTGGTTATACCACTGTTTACCAATTAATTTCATGTTTATTATATTTCTATAGTATAACTCAAAGTGCATTAATTTCATTATTTCAGGTATCTGCAAGGTGTCAACAGAAATTCACCAACCACAGAACTTGCTGTAGAAAGTTACCATATCTTTTTGAAATTGTTCTCAATATCATTCAAATTATTTCATTTTAAAAAAAGACACTATGATACCACTAACTGTTCTATTGTAATACAGTGGACAATGAGATATACTCAGCATAGTGTTCAAACATCACTTGTTTCAGTACTCCTATATGCCTATACTTCTTGATGTTAATTTACCTTTAAAAAAATTGAAATGATAACAATGGTGATATTACAGTTTTCACTGCATTTTGGCATAAATTGCTTGGAAAACAAAATGGTCTGCCTGCAAAGTGACTTGGATATATGCATGGGGTGTAAACATTTACACAAAATCTTGGACTATTAAATTATTAGCATTTTGCATTTATTACATGTGCATGTCATGTGACAAATATAAACTTTGAACTCTATATGCTTCCAATGTAGCTACCTCTTGTATTGTACACAATACTCTTTGTCCCCCTTAATTTTCATTTTTAAGGCCAGTAACACTCATTTGTTTAACTCTACCATCTATCATTACACACTATGTACAATATTCACATCACAGATTAGTAAAAATTAATTGAGTAAATAAAATAATGTAAATACATGCATGTTCTGCCATTTCGAAAATTTTCAAAATCTATCTGTACCATTCAGCATTTTCATTCATGTATTTGGTGTATATTTAATTATTACATATCAAACATTGTGGCAAGGTTTTAAAAGTATTTTTTTGATACTCAGTGATGGCAGAAAATACATTTTACCCTAAAAATTCAAGCTAGCATTCTCAGATATTGAAATCTGACAGAGATATTTTTATCTAGATATAGTTGCAGATCTGTAGCTCACTGGTCTGAAAATTTTTGGATGACTGTCCATCCTTATTTTTTTTTTCAACCAATGAAACACAAATCTGCAGCTTATCTATATACAGGTGGATGCTTACCAGTCAAGTTCAAAGTTATCAAGAGGTTGAAGTCAGAGGCATTGCAAGAAAAAAAAATGCACTGCCTTTGCAACGGGAAATTTATTCATTAATACATGGAAAGTCCACCTTAGCAAATCAATATTTGCCAGAAAGTTTGCCATGCTAGCTTTATTAATTTTTATAGAAAGAAAATAAAGATAAAAGTTTTGGTTTTGAGGTATTTAATACCAGATATGTGAAATTATAATTTATGAAAATGACACAAAATAGATTACATGCATGCCCTTTGTATTGATGCAAAACACCTATTAAAAAGGGCATTTTTCTGTGTTTCAATAGAAAGCAAATCTTTCTGCTGAGTAAATCCATGTTTTTGAAATCCATGCATTTTTTAAATCCATGTAAATCCTGGCAATGATTAAATTAATTACAATATGTAGCTATTGATATTGTTGAAGAGTATGGATGTTATGAACCATCAAGATATTGTATTTTTGTTCATGCAATACAACATTGTGTAAATACATTTAATGATTTACATAATGCAATAAATTTCTAAATTAAACAATATCTTTGAGTTTGTTTTAATTCGTTATTATGTAAATATTGCATGTAGTTTTTTAATATTGAAAATTTTCACCCCAAGAAAACCATTGTCAACTGAAGCACAGCCAAGGTTGACAATGGTTTTCAAGGGGTGAAAATTTTCAATGTTACACTCAATTACATGCAATATTTATTATATTATACTGAATGTTTTATACAAATACATATTACAGTGAACCTTACAAGCATAATTTCTGCGCAGTCAATATTTTTTGAAATATCACAGGTCGTCAATCAATGTTAACTGTTGCTACGCTGGAGGGCGAGGCTTCATTATTCAGTGGGTAATAGTGTTTTTTAACAAATGTTTCTCGACGAATCAGATTCAACTAATTTACATGAAAGTATAATATAACAAGATGTGCCATGTCCTGCACTGATGTTAGTGAAGTCTGAGCTGAACAAGATGACAGCATCATTTATCTATGGTGTAGGAGTCTTCATGCTGCATCTGCTGCAAAATGAAAAATATCAACTCATCAGTTAAAGAAATACTAACAAGATGTGTTTGTGAAACACTATGTCCCCAATGGTAACACAATTCTGGAGTGGGACGTAGACTACAGTGCAACAGTTATGGCCAATGTTAAAGTTTTTCAAATGTAGGTCAAAGGTCACAGTTGAGGTCACATGATCAAAAATTACTGTACCAATGGAAAGGTCTTGTCATAATGAACACTCATGTCAAATATTAAAGCCTTACCCTTGACAGGGCAATAGTTATGGGCTAGGTTAAAGTTGACAACAGACAGGCAGACAAACAGACAGACAAGTCAAAAACAATATACCCCTGGGATCTTTCGATCAGGAGGCATAAAAATAATGGCCGAAATTTACCCATTGCTAATATCTCGAACATGGATATCTTGAATACCATAGATATGTCCAAGTGAATGAGAATTAAGTCCTAAACACGTAATATGTATTTTACCCTCTATATCTCAAAGTTTTGTCTTGGTCCCTTGGAGTTCGAGATAATAAGGTTTGACTGTACATATTATTGCTAGACCTATAACTTTGTCCATGAATGTTCTCACAGATGGCTAGTACAATCGTATCAAAATGAAACTTAACAGAAATTATAATCTCCAACTGTAGTTGTGCTTTCCATGTTTTAAATTTTCAAAATGGCCACATTTACCATGGACATGGATAAAATATGCAAAATTTTCAATTTCATCATTCTCGGTAATTGCTAAGTCAATCTTGTTGAAAGTTTAAAGAATTCTCTCTTGCATCATGTCAAAGTGGTTTCTGCCAAAAACAAATGGAATTGTTTGAAGTCTGTCGCTGTTGCCATGAATAGATTGAATAAGTTTTCGTAAGACCACACTTTCTTTTTCTCTCAGGACATAGAAAAGTTAAGTTCATTGTGTGTATTGACATTCAGGTTCATGTGAAATACTGTGCTAACTTTGTGCACACATACATGTATTGCCATATTATTCATAAAACTTGAGGCATTCATATTACGGTACATTGCTGGGAGGGGGGGGGGGAGGGGCATAGTTTGGAGCTGACATATGCTATTGCTTGCGATAGCGAAGTTTTTAGTGTATTTGCAGAGATCTAATGTGACGCTATAAACAGTGTATTCACAATATCAAGGTTTGCTAAGGGGGTTTCATGTCCTTTAAATATTCAAATGATTTTTAAAATGGGCTAAATTTTACAGAAACTTACTCATTTTAACTGAAAGTATCCAGTGACTGCATACTGTCTAATAAATGTCAGTAATCTTATACAATATAGTTGTAGCATTACATTTACAAGCCATGGTCACTGGTTATATAATCCAGTTATGAATGAAAGTGCTAGCACTTTACTCACCAGTTTTAGAAACTCCACAATCAATGCTGTCCAACCTGTCTGATGGCTAAAAAATAAATACATATTAAAATTCAAGATGGGGATCTAAGTTACACAAATAGTAATGACATCTTAATTCATAAAATCATTTCATACTTGGCACCACATCCTCTGCCTGTCTCACTGTCAAAGTATTCATAGAATAACACCGAATCCCGCCAAGATTCTTCAAGTCTGTACTTCTCATAGCTCCCTGTAAATCATTAATTTTCTTTTAAAGAAGACTACTTTTATGTTTTCTTTTGTCTCTTGACAGCAGTGAAATATTTGTAATGTTGTTCTGTCTGAATGTCTCTGTCTAGCTGAGAGTCTGTCTTCTGTCTGTCACAAATTATTACTAGGCTATTATTTTTCCTTAATCGGAATAAACTAATTTTAGTATTTTGTTTACTCATGACTTAAAGGCATGTCCTCTTCTTGGTGCAAGGTCATATCAAAAAGGTCAAAGTCATTGGAAAAGGAGATTTTGAAAAAGTGTCCAGAATGCTAAGAATGAACTCGAACTTTACTTTTTCCTGTCATTGTACAAATCTTATGCCTGATTTTGAATATTGAGAAGTGAGGTTTTCCACCAAATTTGACTATTAATCTAAATTTTGTGTTTACTTGTGACAATTTATCTGCAATTACTCTTTACAAATTAAAGCAATTAATCAACTTGCATTCCAAAATTTCCTCAGTGAATTATGACTTGTTTTTAATATCTTCTTAGTACTTACCATGACAAGGTCTGGATTGTGTTTTTATGTTCACAGTGAAGAGACTGGACACTCTATTACAGATCTCCCTAGCCATTTCACCTAGCCTCATGGCAGTGCCAGATAAAGAGGGATGGATCATTTTGAATTTCTCTCCATAGAAACTGTCCATCTTCAACAACATCTCCACAATCAGAAAGTTCACTGAAAAGATTTTTTACATTTAGACATAATTCAAATTTTGTCTTCAATTTAGCCACATTTTCTGTATAAATGTATTTGTCAATTATTGTTCAATGTCAATTAGAGGTACAGTGAAAGAGCTCATAAAATGATACTTTTCCATGCAATTTTCTCTGAAATTTTTGCATACAATACTTCTCTCAAGTTATGGATCACATACAAATTTTATACTTTTTCTTCCAGTGACCTTGAACTCTTGCCAAAACAACCTTGGGTCAAGTTCATGACACATCCTCAGGTCATAATCTATCTTGTCAGGTACGAGCTTCCACTGTTTTTCCAGTCAAAATTGCATGGACAGATAAACAGACAGACAGCTAGACAATGTGATTTCTACATAAACTCCTATCCTTTGTTTCGGTGTATTGGATTTATGAAATACCTAATATCTAATTTGTGGGCCAGATTTAACTATGAGTCTGTACAGGATGTGTATTGAAAAGACAATTCCTCCCTTTACTTGACAATTTACTTAAATAACCAGATAGGACATGTCCAGGTACACTACATAGCTAGGCAGGACCTGTCCAGGTACACTATATAGCCAGACAGGACCTCTCCAGGTACACTACATAGCCAGACAGGACCTCTCCAGGTACACTACATAGCCAGACAGACACTCTAAAGTTTGTTACACTTCATAGCCAGACAATCCTCTCCAGGTACACTACATAGCCAGACAGGGCCTCTCCAGGTACACTACATAGCCAAACAGGGCCTCTCCAGGTACACTACATAGCCAGACAAGTCCTCTCCTGTTATACTACATAGCCAGACAGGGCCTCTCCAGGTACACATCATAGCCAGACAGGGCCTCTCCAGATACACTACATAGCCAGACAAGTCCTCTCCTGTTATACTACATAGCCAGACAGGGCCTCTCCAGGTACACAACATAGCCAGACAGGGCCTCTCCAGATACACTACATAGCCAGAAGGGCCTCTCCTGTTACACTACACAGCCAGACAGGGTCTCTCCAGGTAAACTACATAGCCAGACAGGGACTCTAAAGTTTGTTACTCTTCATAGCCAAACAAGTCCTCTCCTGTTACACTACATAGCCAGACAGGGCCTCTCCAGGTACACTACATAGCCAGACAGGGCCTCTCCAGGTACACTACATAGCCAGACAGGGCCTCTCCTGTTACACTACACAGCCAGACAGGGTCTCTCCAGGTACACTACATAGCCAGACAGGGACTCTAAAGTTTGTTACTCTTCATAGCCAAACAAGTCCTCTCTTATTACACTACATAGCCAGACAGGGCCTCTCCAGGTACACTACATAGCCAGACAGGGCCTCTCCAGGCACACTACATAGCCAGACAGGGCCTCTCCTGTTACACTACACAGCCAGACAGGGTCTCTCCAGGTACACTACATAGCCAGACAGGGACTCTAAAGTTTGTTACACTTCATAGCCAGACAAGTCCTCTCCTGTTACACTACATAGCCAGACAGGGCCTCTCCAGGTACACTACATAGCCAGACAGGGCCTCTCCAGGTACACTACATAGCCAGACAGGGCCTCTCCTGTTACACTACATAGCCAGACAGGGCCTCTCCAGGTACACTACATAGGCAGACAGGACCTCTCCTGGTACACTACATAGGCAGACAGGACCTCTCCAGGTACACTACATAGCCAGACAGGGCCTCTCCAGGTACACTACATAGCCAGGCAGGACCTCATCAGGTACACTACATAGCCAGACAGGACCTCTCCAGGTACACTACATAACCAGACAGGACCTCTCCAGGTACACTACATAGCCAGGCAGGACCTCATCAGGTACACTACATAGCCAGGCAGGACCTCATCAGGTACACTACATAGCCAGGCAGGACTTCTCCAGTTACTGTTTGGCTTTCTACATGGCCAAACAGGGCCCCACCAGTTTGTTACACTACATAGCCAGACAAGGCCTCTCCAGTGAATGACAGATTTCCTACAAAACCAGTTGGAACCTTTCCAATTAGTGCATAACTTACTACAAGAACAGACATGGCCTCTCCAGTTACTGTTTTACTAGAAAACCAGAAAGAACCTCTCCAGTTACTGTATGAATTACATAACCAGACTGGACCTCCCAAGTAACTATTTGACTTAAAAGGTAACCTTTCTAATTATTGTGTGACTTGCTAGATAAACACATGGGGCTTCTCCAGTTTCTGATTAACTAGCTACATAACCAGAAGGGGGCTCCCCAGTGTCTATTTACCTTGCAAAATAACCAGAAGGTGCCTCCCCCAGTTTCTGATTAACTTGATGCCTAACTAGAAGGGGCCTCCCTAGTTTTTGATTAACATACTACATAACCAGACGGGGCATCCACAGTTTCTGTTTGACTTGCTACATAACCAGACAGCGCCTCTCCAGTTACTGTATAACTTATTAGATAACCATTTTAAATATTTGTGACTTACTACATAGCCAGACTGGGCCCCTCCAGTTACTGTTTCCCCCCATCATAGCTGTGTCAGATTCAGCTGCAGCATATGTCATCTTCAGTTCTGTCTTTTCATCCAAATCCAGGTATTCTTGCACCTCTTTGTTAACGTTAAGACTGTAGGGATCCATTTCATAAACCTACAATAAACCTATTTCATGTAAATTAACTTTAAATACTTATATTGACTTCACTTGTAACAAGAGAGGAGAAATTGTGAAGAACCAGACCAGGATTCGAACCCAGGCCCCCTGAATCTCCAGTCAGGTGCTCTACCGAGCTAATTGGCCACCAGCGATTGAACTCATCTGACCACCACATTCCTCCCTCCTTAAAGGTCTTCAGCCACCAAAAACACCAACCCAGACTCTTCCCTGGCAGGTCTTACACCTGTCACTTCCAGGGCATTGCACAGCACCAAATAAAACAGAAGAGGATCGAGAAAAATGTGACGAACCAGACCGGGATTTGAACCTGGGCCCCCTGAATCTCCAGTCGTGCTCTACCAACTGAGCTATCTGGCCACTGACGATTGAACTGTTCTGACCGCCGCACACTAAAACATACATGTACAAAACTGAAACATGTATCTTTTGATGTAATGCATACTCAAATCCCTAAATATATAAGATACTGCAATTTTATAGCATCAAAGCTATGGAGCTTGTTTTTTTTTTAAATATATATATAGTGCATGTTTTGGAGGGTAAAAGTCTACATTTATTGACTGAGTTCAAGGGCAACATGCATTTTGTCTGACCCAAGAACCAGTTTGGTTCTTGGGTCTGACAAAATGCATATTTCCTTCAAACCTAGTCAATAAATGTATATTGGTTAATGGATCTAAACAAATAGGATTTCAGTATAATAAACTAAATTGCACAGCAATTTCTACATAATGGTATCTTGTTCTCTAGTATCACAAAAAAAAAAACCACTTTTAAATTCTGACGACATGTTGCTCGAATTGTAGATAAAGACACCAAAAATTGTGATTTTGGCAATGCTAGTGATTTTCAATAGGATTATATAGTAAATAACATCCTCTGGTATCTTGTACAAATGCCTGGTAAGGTGCCTTAGTTTTTTTGTGAGGAAACTTGTTTACGTAACAATGACAAATTCTTGTAAAAAATTATACATTATTGAGGAACATGTCATCTGACCAAGTGAAGATATTATTTCTTTTGAGTATAAGTATCTATAAAATTGTAGAATATTTTGGACAATCAGACCATAAATATGCACTATACTGTATGTTTAACGGTATCGGGTACATTCGCCCTATCTACCTGTTCGCATGAGTCCGTTCGCGCAGGGTCCGTTCGCCATAATTCTTGTTCGCCCTATATCTCGTTTGCCCTAATATATGTACAGTATATAGCAAATATTGACATTTGTTATTAATTTAATTCAATACTTTACGACTTGGTGTTTTTTTTCCAAATGTTGCTACAGTAATTTTTTTTTAAATTTAATCTTAATTAATTAAATAATTCAAATTTGATATTAATGCTTTTTACATGCTTAATTGGTTTGATTATACTTAATAATGTCACTGTAATTTGGAGGTTCATATCCGTTTTTTTTTTAAATTTTTTTTTTTATTATTTATTTATTTTTTTTTTTACAATCTGCTTTATGTTTTGAAAACAATTAAAGGACTGAGACGTTAACAGGCCCATTATGGAGCTGAGCAGCAGATGAGCAAGGTTTTACCTTTGAAGATTGATAATTGATAAGTAAAATCAAAGCCTTTGATCTAAAAATGATATATAAGAAGAAGGAAAATGAAAATTTGAAAGGACAGGTATTTAGTGTGACCATATGCATACGTCTGTTGTCTATGTGCAATTTATGTACCAATGTACATATAATTTATTGAAAAAAATCCATTTGTTCATTATTCAACTTTCTGCAATATAAATAGGGTGAATGGACTCTGTGCGAACAAGTTTTAGGGTGATCGGACTCTGGGCGAATGAGAATTAGGGCAAACGGCGTCAAGGGCTAACGAATTTTAGGGCGAATGAACATACAACCATGTTTAATCAGCTAGAATATGTACATGTTATGATGAATACAAATGTCATATAATTTACCTTTGATAAAGATCTTATTCCAAATGGAGAAAGAAATTCTTCCTCATCCGTGAGATGTCTCAGAATATTATGAAGTCTAGTCTTGGGCACTGCACAGAGAAGAAAGTCCCCAGCCTCATTTCTGTTTACCTACACAGGAAATAAAATTGACCACCAGAAGATATAAATAACGGATACAGTTAAACTTCAATATCCGAAATCTCAGCTGGTGACTGACAAAAAGCTTTCTTAATATATCCAAGTGTTTTGAGACACCAGAGTTTGACAATACATGTTCCTTCATTAAATTAAGCTGATACAGATGTTTATAAATTTAGATTTTTAGGCAAAAATTAAGACAAAAATCACTGATCAATGCTGATGATCTCGTACAAAAGGTGAATTCTTCTGTATCAAATTCTCCAGCTGTTTCAGTAGCTTCTTCCCTGATTTGTTTTTGAGAGAAGACATTTTGATGTTCAGACAGGCCAGTGCTGGAATAATGCCCACCAGGGAACGCAGGGCAATGGGAGTTCTGTCCCCTGAATCTGTTTCTATGACATCATAGTAGAATTTATCATGGGGATGCCACAAACCTGGAAATATATTTTTTTAAAAACTCATTTGCACTCCTAAAAATAGTAAAAATACTAAACATGAAATATGCATAAATGTAAAATATTTTTTGATGACTTGAATTTTTATGAATTGGTCCCTCATAGGTGGCATTCTAATTTTAACATTTCTGTTTGTGACAATTTCTCAAATGGTGAAAAAAAAATGATGAAAGGATTTGAATATTTCTGCAATTTTATCCTATGAAATTTTGATTGCACTATGTAGTGGCAAATGATTTTAAACATTTTTTTACCTTGATCTTTGCCTTAGAAACTTAGGTCACTGCACACTCTTTACTCTCGGGTACTCTTTGGATGTAGTTTGTCAGATTGGGCCAAGGAGAGAAAAAATATGCCCCAGGCAAGGATATTACAAAGAGACCTTTTCTGAGCCAGTTTTGGCCAAGGGGAGAGAAACATATCTGGACAAGTGATATCAATTGATGGACAGACAGATCACCACAGGGCATCCATGTAATCCTCATATTATTGCATGTCACAGATGACCTGTGACCCCACCATTAGTATTTCAAAAATATATTTTTACTTACTTTAATTCATACCTTCATCTTTAATGCTTTTGTTCAAGGCTTCTGAAATTGATATGAATTTCTCCAGATAATTGACACCTGCCCTGTAATATTTGTGGTCTGCTCCAGGCTCTGCGGATAATGCCATTGCTATTTCAAGCATGGAGAGAGAGAAGAAGGCTATCCAGCCTGTGGCATCTGCCTGTAATTAAATACAGTCAAACCACATCATCTCAAATTTTGAGATATCTCAGCATTTGAGATATCAAGGTTAAAATACATAAAGAAAAAGTGAATGGGACTTCCAACTCAGACATGTCCATGGTATTCCAGATATTGATGTTTGGGATACTGAAATTCAACTACTGTAAATCACTTTTTATTCACGAGAACTTTAATTTTGCACAATTATGCAAGACAGTGTGCCCATGAAAATTTCATTCTCATGTATAGAAGTATTCCTAAAGATTATATAGAGCAATAACCACAATTCGCGAAAATTTTATCTCACTAATACATGTGAACAGTCAATGTCTATTTAATGAAAATAAGGTGTCACAGAAATTTAGTGATCTACAGTATTTTGTCTTAGTAAAAAAAACCATATTCAGACTAAACCTCTTACAATCAATTTTTTTCTGTAATATAACTACATGTATTTGCTAGGGCTGGGACGATACAGCTTTTTGTATATCGATACGTATCACGATATTTGAGCCACGATACGATATGTATCACGATATGTTGATTTGGTTATAAAATGTTTTTTATAGTGAAATGAACGAAACATTTCTTCACAAATACGAATAATTTATTCAAAGAAGTTGTATATCTGTTGTAAAACAAAATCATTTTACCCAAGTGGTATTAATTATTATGTATTTCATATTTATATTTTGCATATTTATTTTATATATTTAACCCAAAATGTTAAGAAAACAGAGAAAAACATAAGTCAGAATTTTTTTTGCGATATTCGATATTTCTTCATACATATTGATATGCGTATCATCCTCACATTGAATCGATATTATCGATATCTCGATATATCGTCCCAGCCCTAGTATTTGCTCCCAATTCACATCTGCACAAACCTTTTTTTTTTAAATATATGGTACAAGAAATGAAAGTGTGTACCTGTTTCAGTGGATGGCCCTGCTTAAGATGGAATGACCTGTCTACAACACTGATGTTGTCTATTCCCAGAAACCCTCCAGTAAAGAGATATCTGTTGTTTCTAAACTGCATTGACTTGAGCCACCTAAAATAATGTCAGTACATATAATACAAATATGTTTATGTCTGTCAACAGACCATATTGCTGTTCATCTCTAAACATTTTTTTCTTTCGAATTTTTAGTACAAAACCAAATTACATGCTATATAATTTTATTTTTGAGACAGAAAACTCAACCTGCCCACAATTAAATTTACCAAAAAAGATGGCAGATTGATAGATGACACACAAACTTTGATACATTAAAAAAGAGGTCAGGGGCCACAATGCTTACCTGAGTAACAAATGGCCCTTCTTGTTCTTCATCAGTAGATTCTTTTTCTTATACATTTATATGGCTTTCCTGATCTTGATAAGAAGATTTTTAAAGATTTTTCCTAAGTATTTCTATGTCAAACTTTGATCGCACATAGTGGTCCCACCATACCCCAGGAGTTATGATTAGAACAAACTTGAATCTACACTTATATGCTTCCATATAAATATGACTGCTCCTGGCTTTGCTGTTCTTGAAAGAAAGAATTTTCAAGATTTTTCCTATGTTTTCCCATGTAAAACTTTAATTGCCCTTTGTGGATCCAACCTTACCCCAGGGGTCATGATTTGAACAAACTTGAATCTACACTATCGTAAGATGCTTCATATAAATATGACTAATTATGACTTTGCTGTTTGTGGGGAAAAGATTTTTAAAGATTTTTTTGTATGTAATTATATGTGTAAATTTGATTGCACATTGTGGGCTGGCTCCACCCTACCCTACCCCTTGGGGGGGGGGGGGGGGGGGTCATAATTTGAACAAACTTGACTATGTATTACCTAGGGATGCTTCCATATAAATATGCCTGATCATGGCTTTGTTGTTCTTGAGGAGACTTTCAAAGACTTTTCCTATATATACCCATGTTTAGCTTTGATTGCCCATAGTGGCCACAACCTATCCTTGGGGGTCATGATGTGAACAAATTAAATCTTCACTACCTGATGATGCTTCCATATAAATATGACTGATAATGGCTGTGCTGTTCTTGAGAAGAAGATTTTATAAAGATTTTTTTCTATATATATATTTACCCATGTAAAATTTTGATTGCCCATAGTGGCTCTATCCTACTCCCTGGGGTCATGATTTGAACTTGAATTTACACTTTATCAGGAAGCTTCCACATAAGTTTCATCTTTTCTGACCTAGTGGTTCTTGAGAGAAAGATTTTTAAATAACCCCACCCAATTTTTTTCTTTTTCTCAATTATCTCCCCTTGAAAGAGGGTGTGGCCCTTTATTTGAATAAACTTGAATCCCTTTCATTTTAGGGTACTCTGTGCCAAGTTTGGTTGAAATTGGCCCAGTGGTTCTGGAGAAAATGTTGAAATGGTAAAAAGTTTACGGAGACAATGACGGACAACAGACAAATTTTGATCAAAAAAGCTCACTTGAGCTCAGGTGAACTATAAATAACCCACTTAAGTCCTTTGTTAGGGCACAGATGATCCTAAAAATTTAATCAGAATGACAGACAGATAAACTGGATAATTTTGAAAATACCACTGAAAATTCAGCTGTAATTTCTGGAAACTTTGCTTTAAGAATTCTTTGTCTGAATGTCCTGTCTTGGAGAACACATCATAACATGACCAAGCATATACTGGAGGGAAGGGCAGGTCCATATCCCACTCACAGCCTGGCATCTGAATAGATGAGCAAATGTATAAAATTATTCCATTTTATATTAAAAATTGAAAAAAAAAATTACATGGATATTTTTTTGAAATAACAGAGAATTCACCTGTCCATTGGCCTTCATAAATCTCTCACTCAGAAATAATAGAAGTTGATTTTTGGCAAATTCTGGATCCAGCCTGGCAAATGGCAACATCTGAAAGGCTGTATCCCATGTGGCGAACTAGACAAGAGAGCAAAATATGTATAATATATGACTGCTGTTGGAATTGACTAATGGATCAAAGTATTTATTTCAATTTAAATTGGTCAACATTCATTACATGTGAGAAAACAAAACAAAAAAATCGAGAAGCCCATGGGCCACAATGCTCACCTGAGTAACTTAAGCCCTACTGTTCTTTAAAGGATTTAAAAAATTTTTTTAAATTCCCATGAAAAATTGCGACCTCATATCAAGGCCCAACTCTAGCTCTACTTCAATATTGATACGACTTACAAGGTCTTGCAGATATGGAGAAGAAAAATCCTGTTTCTGTATACATGCATTATGTAAAATTTGATTCAGATTTTACTCAACTATAACACAAGGTCCAAAATTTGGGAGGAAAATGAATCCACACAACTTGGAAATGTTTGCAAATGAATATTTCTATTGTGAATCTAAAGATTTATTTTTCTTATTTAATCCCATTTATAACTTTTATCCCCTATTGTGACCTTACCATAAAACTGCGGAGGGGGTTGGGTAGGGGGTCATGATTTGATTAATTTAGAATCTACATTATATGAGGAACATTTCACATAAATTTCTACTTTTCAGGTGCAGTGGTTCTTGAGAAGATTAATGAAAGACTTTTCCAATATATTTTAATGTAAAATTTTGATCCCCTATTGTTGCCCAACCCTACTCCTAAGAGCCACAGTTTTAAATAATTTAGAATCTACACTATGCTGGAAGCTTTCACATAAGTGTCATCTTTTCTGGTCCAGTAGTTCTCAAGAAGATTTTTAAAGACTTTTTTAATACTGTAAATGAACTTTTTTCTATGTGGGCAAAATCCTGCATAATCACAATTTCTGTTTAATCTGCAGGTAGAAAATTACATGGATACTTAGTAATTTTTTATCGTAAATTAATTCCACATGGGCAAAATGTATGTCTACAGTATATATATCAATGTGAAACTTTGATCCCCTATTGTGGTCCCACCCTTCTCCAGGGGACCATGATTTGAACAATTTAAAATCTTCACTACCTCAGGAAGCTTTCATATAAATTTCATCTTTTCTAGCCAATCTTGAGAAGATTTCTTTTAATAACCCCACCCTATTTCCCTTTTCTTGATGATCTTTCCTTGGAATGGGACTTAATTGGCCCCTCAATTGAAGAATTTATAATCCCCTTTACCCAAGAATGCTTTGTGTCAACTTTGATTAAATTGGCCGTGTTCTTGAAAAGTCAAAAATGTGAAAAGTTTACAGATGACCAGACAGATGGACAGGTGATCAGAAAAGTTCACTTGAGCTTTCAGCTCTGGTTAGCTAAAAAGTTACAGGGGAACATCAACCAATGATATGCATTCAGATCTTTCATTTTTTGTGTGTACAATGGAGAGCAGTGTGCAGTCCTAATGCGAGTCTACATGTTAATCCACAATGATTACTTCATTGTCTTACAGTGTAAGATCATGTCTTATTTTATTGTGAGACCTCTAGTGTTGCATAGTATTTAATGTATTTACTAAAAATATATCTGTCAGACATACCCAGGGAAATTCCCACTTGTCTGGAACAGCTAACACATCATAGCCGGATACATGAGCCCAGTCTTTATTGCGACATAAAACATCCCAGTACGCTCTCTTATCTATTATCCAAATTATAAAGAAAATGACATATAAAAGATAGTGACAATTCTAGTTTTGAAACTTTGACTATTGGTATATTTTATTTTTGTTCAAATATGCTTTTTGCACGGAGCCTTTCATCATCTTCACTGTCTTTGACTGCAGTGCATGCAGCTCTAAAGCAGCAAAACACTAATATTAGGGTAATTTATAATAGAGTGTACTCATTTGTGTGTGTACATGTATTTAAAAAAAACACAAAAAATCCACACACACATATCGGTACATATACAGTTTATACACTCACAAATAAACAAAACACAAGGTATTCATGAGATAAGATATAATAGCTAACAACAGAAGAAAACATATTTCTTACTTTCTCTTTTGTCCAGCCATTGTTGCTTCAATATATGAAATTTATGTTTAGCAACAAATCCTTCATATTCTTTTTCTTTCATTAAATCACAGCATGGGGATTCCATTAGAATTTTAACGTTCCCCATTGTACAGCTACCATTTGGAAAAAGCCACTGATACTGGTTCAGATGAAACTCATCGAGATTTCTTCTCCAACCCTGAACATCATAATAATACAGCTGCTTGTTCCAAAGGAGTCCAGCAAATGCCTGTCTTGCCACCAGTTTTTGTTCAGGTGAGAAATTATGTAAAAGCTTTCATAGAGAAAAAAAAATATATATTATACAATTATTTCTGTTTTTTAGGGTTGATACATTGTACCAAGGAGTAAAATATTCAGGGCTCGGTGTAATTACATTTGTTGAAATCCTAGCCAAATGCAGACAGAGAATTTTTTTTAAACATAAATACAGTGAAACTTGTCTAATCCAGATGTTGTGTAATCCAAAATCTTGCCTAATACGATGTAAACTTTAAGTCCTTTTCAAGTAAATTCATTTGTTTAAAATGTTTTCTAATTAAGGAATGTTTTTAAGTTTTGTGTGAGTTATTGGTGTGTAAATCACACAGACTTGTAACGTAGGCATATTTCATGAAGCATGCTAGCATCATGCAAAACTTTTAACTAGCACTGGTTGTACATACATGTATATATTGTAACTTTTTTATTTGGAAATTGTGGTTTGAAATAAATGTAATATATTTATTTCCAGATAAAAATTCTATTTCCACCTTCACTGTACCTGGTAAACATTAAATTTCCAGAAAAGCACAAAAAAAAAATTCTGGAAATGTAAACAAGAGGGCCTAAATGGTCACCTGAGTATAACACAACAATTTAGAGGATCCACAGAAGTAAAGAATAAACTGATAGATGAAGCTTTGTTACCCAAAACCAAGAGAAATAGGTTGATTAGAATAAAGGAAATACTTAGTCTCGTACTCGTAAGTTCTACTTGCCCCCATTTATCACTAATCACCGAGAAGACTATTAACAAAACAAAGTGCTTCTAATACTATATTCAACCCCATATTTTTATGTCTCATATTGGCCTCTCTGGGTCTTTGAAGAAAAGTCAATAAAAATGAGTTATTTTTGTCTTATTTTTTATTTATCTATTATTTGCAAGTCTACCTGATCATTAAAACTATGAAAGTAGTTTTTGTATTATTCAATTAAAGTTCTTGCATAATTTTCTTATTCTACTTACCTTGTAAATACATTATTTACAGTGATTAATTATCAAAGGTGAATGGCAATGGGGAAGAACTTCTCTCAGTAGAAAACAAATTAATAGAGCCCTCACCAGCACCAGAACACTTGACCAAATGGTTCAGAATATCAAAAAATCTGGTAAAAATACCCTTCCTTATTAAAATTTTACTCTGCCTCTGAGATGCCCAGGAGCAGAGATGATTTTCAAAGAAATAATTTATTTTCACTATAGATTCAACAAAGCCCCACCCAAACAACAGAACCCATGACCCAGGGTCATGAAATTAACGAATTAGAAGAGGTACTTTTGCTCATCATAACTATACACTTAGTTGAAGATTTTCAAAGAATAAAAAAATTAACATATTTTCACTATATTATCAATAGACTCCCCTCCCCCCCCCCCCAAAAAAAAAAAACACCAGAACCTGGGACCACAAGTTCTAAATATTTTGTAACAAGCATCTTTACTCATCATAACTATGCACTTTGTTTCTCTGCTCAATACCCAGGAGTAGACAAGATTATTTAATGCATTTTCACTAAATAATCAATAGAGCCCTGTCCTAACACCAGAACCCCTGACCCAGGAGCCATGAATTTCCCAATTTTGGAAGAGGCACCCTTGATCATCATAACTATATACTTGGATTGTTTGTTAATATACAGGAGCAGAGAAGATTTTCATAGATATAATAAAGAAGATTTTTAAAGATACATGTACCACTAATTTTGATGGTTTTAGCCCCACCCCTAAACCCCCTGGGGGGTAGGGGGGGGGGGGGGTGAGGGACCATGAAATTCAAAATTGTTGTCCCCCTTCATTCATAGATGCTTTATGCCAAAAATGGTTGAAATTGGTTCAGCAGTTCCAGAGGAGAAGATGAAAATGTTCAAATATTAACGCATGATTGATGATGCACAACGCATGCTGACGGACAAAAACAGATAGCAATAGGTCACCTGAGTGACTCAGGTGACCTAAAAATAAATGAAAAATTAATCAAAAATGTTGGAAATGCTTTGCATAATCTTGGAAATGAAAAGCACCGAATAAAACATGTTAAGGATTTTTGTTTTGTGATACATGTATTTATTAACCACCTATGTTCCTCTTAGTTATATCCATGCTTTACTGTATTTCTTTATTGGAAAGTTTACCTACTTTGTTATAAAACTCCTCTGCATTCTTCTTACAGATGTCAATAATGTCCTTTGGTGAAGATTTTGGCTCCTTCCTTTCTTCAAACAAGGACCAAAAAATTTGTTTGGAATCATGGGGTTTGACAGTCATTTTCATCTGGCAGCCAAACTTCTCAATGTCTTGCCAGCTGGGATCATCTTCTTCTTTTTTACCTAAAGACCAAACCATTATAAAATGTATTCTATAATATTCATGCTAAATCAATATAAATCAATAACTTTTGTACTTTTTTTATGGTGTACAAAATTACCAGTATGTACACCCAAACGTCTGACTAATAACTACACATGTTCAATATATTTGGTGAAAAATATCATTTCCATTCTACATCAATTAATGAAAAATACAATACAATGAGATCTGTTACAATAATACAGATTTCTTTTTGTGTGCATAGACAAGTCATACAAGAGAGTTGCACTATTTGGGGTGATTGAGATATTACATGAAAATCTGGTTGGAAAACTTAATACATGTACCGGTATTCATAAATTTATGCACCATACCCACATTGATGCAATTTTTCCATCAATTTTTCCAAGTGGTTTATAACAAATATGTTAAATGTTAATTGGACTAAATACTGTAAAAACAGAAATATTCGTTTGGGATTTAATTTCGTTTATTTCACTGTTAACAATAATCAACGAATTTAAATCCCACACAAACTTTTTACATGACTATATATTGAATAGAGTTACTTTCGAAACAACGAAATTTAATGCCCATGAAACCTTTTTAGATGGCAAATCAATGAAATTTTATCCCTATGAAAATTTGTGCTTCTACAGTAGATAGACAAACCCGAAACAAAATGCCTTGTGGACACAGAAATCCTGGATCTGTGGACAGCATCATGTAAATGTGCCTCAAAATCTACAGAATTGTCCTTTTTTAAGTAAGGCACCTTTTCCTTCAGTGCAAGTCCTGAAATTCATTTGCTATTACAGAAAACAACAGACAAACATGGGTGAAGAAAAACCTTTGTAACTTTGCTGACAGCATCTTCGCAAGCCAAGGGTTTTCGGTCCGCTCCGCTCCCCACAAACCCTTGGAGCGGAGCGGACCAAAAACCCTTGGCTTGCGAAGATGTGCTGACAGAGGTAAACTGCAGGAAAACTTGTCTAATCTGGATGTTCTGAATTCCACAGTTTTGCCTACTAAGATGAAATCTTTTAGTCCTTTTCAGTTAATTCAATTGCTTAATTAAAAATGTCTTGTCAGAAATGTCTAACCTGGCCATTTTTAGGTCACCTGAGTCACTCAGGTGACCTATTGCTATCTGTTTTCGTCCGTCGGCGTCCGTCGTGCGTCGTCCGTCGGTCGTAAACTTTTGAACATTTTCAGCTTCTTCTCTTGAACCACTGAACCAATTTCAACCAAATTTGGCATATAGCATCTATGGGTGAAGGGGAACAAAAATTATGAATTTCATGGTCCCTGCCCCCCTGGGGCCTGAGGGCTGGGGCTAAAACCACCAAAATTAATGCAGTCTTTAAAAATCTTCTTCTTTACTCCTGGACATCAAGCAGTCAAACTGTTGACATGATTGTAGTAAGCATTGAGCCCTCTACCAAATTGTGAAATTCATGGCCCCAGGATCAGGGGTTCTGGTGCTAGGGTGGGGCTATATAGATCATATAGTGAAAGTGCATTATTTCTTTGAAAATCTTCTTCTCTACTCCTGGGTATTATTGAAACAAATTGAATACATAGTTATGATAAACAAGAGTGATTCTACCCAAATTGTGAAATTTATGGCCCCAGGGTCAGGGGTTCTGGTGCTAGGGTGGGGTTATATAGGTCATATAGTGAAAGTGCATTGTTTCTTTGAAAATCTTCTCTACTCCTGGGTATTATTGAAACAAATTGAATACATAGTTATGATAAACAAGAGTGATTCTACCCAAATTGTGAAATTTATGGCCCCAGGGTCAGGGGTTCTGGTGCTAGGGTGGGGTTATATAGGTCATATAATGAAAGTGCATTGTTTCTTTGAAAATCTTCTCTACTCCTGGGTATTATTGAAACAAATTGAATACATAGTTATGATAAGCAAGAGTGACTCTACCAAAATTGTGAAATTCATGGCCCCAGGGTCAGGGGTTCTGGTGTTAGGGCGGGGCTCTATTGATTATATGTGGAAAATGGATTAATTCATTGAAAATCTTCTTCTTTGCTCCTGGGTATTAAATAAAGTAGCTAAGTACATAGTTATGATGAGCAAGAGTGCCTCTTCCAGAATTGTGAATTTCCTGGCCCTAGGGTCAGGGGTTCTGGTGTTAGGGCGGGGCTCTATTGATTATATTATAGTGAAAATGCATTAATTCTTTGAAAATCTTCTTCTCTGCTCATGGGTATTAAATAAAGTTACTAAGAACATAGTTATGATGAGCTAGAGTGCCTCTTTCAAAATTGTGAATTTCATGGCCCCAGGGTCAGGGGTTCTGGTGTTAGGGTGGGGCTCTATTGATTATATATAGTGAAAATGCATTAATTCATTGAAAATCTTCTTCTCTGCTCCTGGGTATTAAATAAAGTAACTAAGTACATAGTTATGATGAGCAGGAGTGCCTCTTCCAAAACGGAAAATTCATGGCCCCTGGGTCAGGGGTTCTGATGTTAGGGTGGGGCTCTATTGACTGTATAGTGAAAATGCATTAATTCATTGAAAATCTTCTCTGCTCCTGGGTATTGAATAAACTAACTAAGAACATAGTTATGATGAGCATAACTGCCTTTTCAGAAATTGTGAATTTTATGGCCCCTGGGTCAGGGGTTCAGGTGTTAGGGTTGGGCTCTATTGATTATATAGTAAAATTGCATTAATTCTTTGAAAATCTTCTTTTCTGCTCCTGGATATTAAATAAACTGAGTTCATAGTTATGATGGGCATGGTTGCCACTTCCAAAATTGTGAATTTCCTGGCCCCAGGGTCAGGGGTTCTGGTGTTAGGGCAGGGCTGTATTGATTATATAGGGAAAATGCATAATTTCTTTCCAAATCTTCTTCTCTGCTCCTGGGTATTATTCAAACAAAGGAAGTGCATGGTTATGATAAGGAAGAATACCTCTTCCAAAATTGTGAAATTCATGGCCACTGGGTCAGGGGTTCTGGTGAAGAGGGGTGGGGGGGGGGGGGCTCTAATTGATTATATAGTGAAAATGCATAATTTCTTTCAAAATATTTTTTCTACTACTGCTTATAAAGCAAAGAAACAAGTATATAGTTATGATGAGCAAGGGTTCTTCTTCCAGAATTGTGAGTTTATGGCCCCTGGGTCAGATGTTCTGGTATAAGGGTGGGGCTTTATTTATTCAATAATATAGTGAAAATGTATTTCTTTGAAAATCTTCTATGCTTCTGGGCATATTCGAGGCAAACATAGTAAAAGTTTTAATATGCAAAGGTATTTTTACCAGAATTTTGAACTCCTGGACCATTTAGTCAAGTGTTCTGGTCCTGGCCAGGGCTCTATTAACTTGTATTCTGCTGAGCAAAGTTATTCCCCTTTGCCATTCACCTTTCATAATTAATCACTGTAAACAATGTATTTGAAAGGTTAACAGAATAAAAGAATTATGCAAGAAAATTTATACAAAAAGTACTTTCATAGTTTTAATGATCAGGTAGACTTGGAAATAACAGATGAATAAAAACAAAAAGACAAAAATAACTTATCTTTTTAAATGTTCTTCAAAGGCCAAGAGAGGCCAATGTGAGAAGTAATAATATGGGGTTAAAAATAGACATTTTGTTAATAGTCTGCATGGTAATACATGTAGTGATAAATGGGGGACAGATAGATACTAGATCAATTATTTTGTTCATGCTAATCATACTATTTTTCTTGCTTTTGGGCAAAAAAGCTTCATTTATCAGTTTATGGATCCTCTTAATTGTTGTATTGTACTCAGGTGACCGTTAAGGCCCTTGGGCCTCTTGTTTAAGGAACCAGTGGCATATGGCCTAAACAAGATTTACTGTTATAAATATGATCATGGAAAGATGCTTTAATTTGTTTACCTGTGCAAATAACATCTGTAAATTGTTTTTCCTTTTCCAAGAATATCTTATTTTGGTACACATCTTGGTCACAGTCAACCCTGATACCGAATTTTCCTGCAAAATGGTGAATTTTCTTTTACTGATATAACAAACACTCATTGACTTTAAGTACTCCAGAGTATAGAATATACACCATATTTGAGACTACATGACTTCTAGCATCTACCGGTAAATGATAATTCTATTATGTACTTTATATTACTATGATTTCTGTACACTTCAAAATAAATTATTCAAATAGGAGTATTTCCATATTTAAAGTTTATCAGTGTAAATTTCGAAGAAGGATATTGACTGACAATATTCATTAATGTATTGAGCTGGCATTGTAAAACTTAGTAAGAGAGGCCTCGAATCAAGTGCAAATTAGTTACTGTATACAGGGTTATTTTTGAACCATGTTATTTTCACCCTTTTACACTTGTAAACAATTTTGCCCCGTTTTAAATTCCCCCAGTCACAGTTCTGTTTAAGAAATTCTACGGTGTTCTTTGAATTTGCCCCATTAAAACGTTGCCCACCTGTGAGTGGGGTGAAATGGGCAAAAATTTCCCTGTATACAGTATACTACTTGTGCCAGTGTTGAAGGGAAGTATGAAGTATTTCTGGAGAGGAAGTTAAAGATAGGTCACTGGCAAGCTTTGATACATTTTGAGATGGTGGTGGTGGGGGGATTTTGACACAAAACATATCAAGAAGTCCCTATGAAAACCAAGTTATCTGTACATATAATTCATCAGCACATTTCATATTTGAAATTTTGTAAGACTAAGTCGTAAGTGATGCAGTCTGATTAAAATCAAACCTTCCACTAGCTCCTTTATTTTGTTGGTCGCATGGCCATCAAAATAAAGAAGCTAGTGGAAGGATTGATTTTAATCAGACTGTGATATGTCATTTTCTCTGTTGTATACATGTATTTATATTCAACAGATTTTTCTATGACCTTTTTGCAATGAAAGCATAGTATCCTATATTTCTACTGCACAAATGACTTCAAATATCTTCAAAGATCTATCTACACTAGCCAGATCATTCAATCCAGACACACAGGATGTTATTTATCCATTGGGTATCGTACTGTATAGAACACAAGTTATACATGTACCATTTAGTGACAGGTAAAAATACAAGCTCAAGATTTACAACATAGACTTTATAAGGAGGTGGAGGAATCAAACTCTACATCTGATAATACCAGTGACCTTTAAAGAGGTAGAAAGTTTATGTTAGACATACAGAGAAAAGGGATGGAGTTTTAAGTTTGAAATTTTGTGAAAATTTCATTAAGAGGAATAGGAGGTCAAACAGATGTGTTAATTAAGATCATACACCTTTTATTCATTTGAAAAACTTTACTTGCCTCATTTAGCACAGGTGAGCTAAAAAAAGGAAGTGGGGTTACCAAGGCTCACCTGCTTTAAACCTCATAGTTCTGTATCATACATGTAGTTATAAACTTATTTTTTGTATAATTTGTCATTGTAGAACACTAAAGTTCTTCACAAATGATCAATTAAAGATATAACCAATCATTATGTCATACAGATTTTAACTGTTAAAGGACCATACCAGTTTGATCATAAACACATACCTTTAGAATAGTCCACTCTAACTGTTTTGCCATCCTGGGCCAATGAAATCCTGAAAAAGTCAGGGATTCATTATTTTACTCAGGTTTTTTACTGACGTCAAGTACTGCTTCATCCAACAAAATATTTAGGTTATAAAGCGATGTGAAATTTTGTGTATTTTTACAAGTTGACTAAAGCTGATAATATACATGTAGTTGATAATGTGAAAAAAAATGACTTTCTCCAAAAATTTCTCATCAAATTTGACATGTATAAAAGATATCAGACAACTATAATTGCTGTTTTTAGATTAATACAATGACTTAGCTGCCTCAAAAAAAAAATATTCACCAAGCCCTAAGGGCAAGGTAAATATTGTACTTAAGGGATGCTTAATCTTTACTATGTGTCAAAATCCAGACTAATTTGGGCACATTATATGAAAAAGCCCACATGAAAAGACACTTACGGCTTGTAATCTTTACACAGAAACTGAGGGAGAACAGTAAGCTCTGTTGATTGGTCAGAATGGTTGGTGATTGTGTAACAGCACACAAGATTTCTCTCATTCTCTGGGTCTTTCCCATACTCCACCATTACATCAAAATACTCATTGTCATCAAATATTCCTATACATAAGAATTTGAAATTACATGTAAATACTTCGACATGTTCAATTTTCTCTGAGATTCAAACAGAAAATTTAATATTGAAAATATGGAAAATTCAAAAGGATGTGAGCAATATACAGTAAATTTTGGTTAAAGTGCAGTCCTGGGGACCAGTGAATTTACTTTTCTATATTCATAATTTGTTATATCCGAATAACAAAATTGTTAAAGTATACATGATAGCAAAATTTGCATACATGTTTTCTTTCAAGTATGAGTACCGAATATGTTCAGGAAAATATTAAATACAAGAACACCTTAAAGCACTTCTGAAGTTTTCTGATAAATTAAATTTTATATATAAAATATCATGTCAGTTCAATATTTTTAAATTTGAGATCTATATCAATTTGTTATATCTGTAAATTTGTGATACATGTATCAGTGTTCATTATAACCATAAAATTTTATAAGCAATTGCTAAGAATTTTGCCAGCAATCTCAAGAAACTCTGCTATATCCATAAATTTGCTATATCTGTGTTCGTACTAAACAATTTTTTTCTACACATACCCTTCTATATACTTATTATCAGGCAGATCTGAAATATCTTATTCTGATAAACATCAAATATTCAAACCTTCTTTCAAATATTTCCTCATATTCCTATCAACAGCCTTTGGCTCAGGTGAGCTAAAAAGAGCTATACTGTATAAATATCAATCTGTTTCAAAAGATTAAAAACACCTGTATCTGTGAGTTCAAACTCAGGTTCTTCTTGATTTCTCTCCAGGTTCATCTGTACGAGTTCATCATAGGGGAACTCATTTTGGGGATATCTGTACAAAGCCCTCATGTACGAGTGATCTGGAAGCCCATCCAAATAATAAAACACTTCCTTTATGTCTTCACCATGGTTACCCTGTAAATCATTAATTATTTCTATATCAAAATATTCTAGGAAATATAGTTGGACTACAATACCTAAAATGGATATGGTGAAATTATCTTAAATATGTTGAAAGTCCAACTATGTTTGAGACACTGATTTTTGACTGTATTTGTATAAACCATGTAGGTATTTCTGTCTTAGAAATGATACATTGTACTTATTTGATGAAATACGTGTAAAACATGTAAAACATATCTTTTAATTTCTCTTATTTCTTATGGTATTCAAAGTTTTACCTTTATTTTTGAGGTTTGAAAACAGGTTCAAACATGCAGCTACCATTAAGGTTCTTTTCATACATTAAACTAAGTATTTATCAAACTTGTACAAATGTTGTATGGACATGACAAATATATTTCTTTATATGAAACAAGAGGCCCATGGGCCTTGATGATCACCTGAGTATTACGAGTTTCTCAAGCTATGGCCACTATGGCCCTATCCCAGACTGACTCCTGAACCTGGAGGACATGAATTTTTAATTCTTGTATAGAGCTAGCTGCTTTTTACACCATGTCAACAACTTGTCTGCTTGATGTCCATTAGTAAATGAAGAAAATTTTCAAATGTGTAATGTATTTTCAATATATGACCAACCATGTGCTTGGGAGCCATGAATTTCACAATTTTAGTAGAATGGTAAGTGTTTATTATAATCATGAGAAAAGTTTGCTTGTTAGATGTCTATGAATGAAGAAGACGATGTTCAAAGATGTAATGTAATTTCATTGAATGACTCTGTCTACCTTATCAATACATAGGTTTCACAGCAACCAGTCAACAGGGGATGCTTACTCCTCCTAGGCACCTGATCCCACCTCTGGAGTTTCCAGAGGTCCATGTTTTATGCCCTATTCACTAACTTGTACTGTTTTAAAGAGTTTTATCAATGCTTCTTCTCACCATGCAGTCAGTTTATCTTCAAGATGTGCAGGAGTAGAAAAGATTTTATTTTTTAAAATTTGGAGGCAGAACCCCACCTTTTGTAGAAGGCCTCATGCATCTTTTCACCATGCAATCAGTTTATCTTCAAGATGTGCAGGAGTAGAAAAGTACATTTTACCACACAACTATAATTTTGGCCCCGCCCTGGAAGCAGAACCCCTGCCCAGGGGGTCATGAAAACTGCAATGTTAGTAGAGGACTTTATGTTCTTTCTAGCCATGCATTCAATTTATTTTCAAGATATGAAGGAGTAGAGACAAAAATTTTCTTAAGCCCTGGGGGTCATGAAAAACACAATTTTAGTAGAAAGCTTGGCTTTATGTTCTTCCTAACCATGCATTTTGTTTAAGATGTTCAGGGGTAGAGAGGATGATTTTCTAAGATTAAGTACAGTTTCTTTACATGACCATTTTGGCCCCACCCTGGAGCCAGAACCTCTGCCTTTAGGTCACAACAAACAAAATTAATGAAGAGGGTCTCATGCTCTTCCTAACCATGTATTCAGTTTTGTTTATCTGCAAGACGTGCAGGAAAAGAAAAGATCTTTGAAAATTTTGCTATTTTCAGTACTTTTTGCCCATCCCCTGGGGTCCAAGGAGTACTATGATTACGAAAATCATAATTTATATTCATTTCATATCTAACATGCAAATTTGATGACAATTGGCCAAGTAGTATTCCAAAAAAAGTTAAAAATATTTAATTGTTAACAGACATCTCATGTTGACGGATGAAGACCAATCGCAATAGGTCATCCAAGTGACTTAGATGGCCTTAAAAAAGATCTGTCACTGGAAAGATACAAAAAAAACACCTGAGGTCCACTGAGTCCAAAGAATCTCTCTTTCAGAATTTCGTCCTTGTGATTCCATAAACTCAGCCTCGTGATTAAAGTGCCTGAGGAATCACAGAATCCAAACATGCCATCTTCTCCATATTTATAACTTCTTTTCCCAGCTTCTTCAAATCTAAAACTTTCCCAGCTACAACAGACATTACAAGCAGATGTTACCAGTATATAAATTATCATCCCATATCCTGTTTCCAACCATATCTAATTTTCAATTATTTTTTCTAAATTTGCTTCCTTTACAGAAACTGCAAGCTAACACATTGATTTTCGGTTGCTAAACTTAGAAAATACATAGCGAATACAAATGTTGCAAAGACTGACCACCTGTTGCCGTTACAAGCAGATGTTATATAAATTATCGTCCCATATCCTGTCTTTGACCATATTTAATTTTCATTTTTCTAAATATCTTCAAGAATTTTTGGGAAAAATGCAACATAATTTTACTGAAAATTTTCAAAGGACACAGGCACAGAAGAGAAAGTACAGCCAATGAATAAAACTGTCAGACTGTAACCAAAATATGCAACTTGTTAAAACTTTATATTGAAGACAATTAAGCATTGAATCATTATTTTTTGAGATATATAGTCTCATGACTGCAACGGTGTATGCAAACAAATTGTAATGCTTGTTAGAGCGTTATGAAAATTTATTTGCACGCACTGTTGCAGTTATGAGACTATATATTTCAAAAAATAATGATTCAATGCTTATATTTACATTTTTTAACTCCTTGCCTTGACTGTAAAGGTGATTTTTATTTCAAAATCCCTGTATTATCCTTTGGGTAAGTTACATTTAATGGAAGAGCCATTGCAACAGCTCCTGTTTAATGTGAGCGTGAAATTTGATTTTTGCTTATGACGTTGCACTTCCACGGCTTTAAACGTTTGTGACGTCAAAACGCATACTTTAACCTTTTGACCCCCTGTCCTTGTTATGGTGTTTTGAATGCCGTAGCTTTCCTCATACTTTATAAACTGTTGAATGTAAATATATTCTTGTATTTTCATTCTGTAGACTATCTAACAGTTTTCTCTATCACTAACTGGAAGTCCAAATTTTTTTAAGCTGAAAACACAAGATGCTTTGAAATTCATTTTCGTAAAGGAATCTGCACCCTCTTATGATGATTCAATATAAATCAAGTGAATTAACACAAAACTTTATTTTGGCAGACATTATTTTAAAAAGCAAGTCACACATATAATCTTTATGAGCTCTGATATATTTTCATATTTTTTAAGAGTTTGCAATAAATAAAAAAAAAGAAGTCAAAAATAGCCAACATGCAAGGATAATCAATTTCCACCTTAGTCAAATATAAATAAGTCCAAAACAATCACTACTTTTTACTAGATAGTTCGAATTATTTAGTTACTCAAAGTAGCTTGATTAAGCTATTTTCTTGCAAGTTTTCACTAGTTAATTGCTTTTTATTTAAAATTGATATCTGACTATTAATATTTGTACTACATTACATTTGGACTTAAAAAAAGGAACCCAGAGCAAAGATACTAGTTTAAACTGTTTTAACATTGCTGCACTTTTGAGCATGTTTATGAATTATGTGTTTCCATTGTTTGACTAACTGTATGTACCATCTTGTGTGGGGTTGGGCATGGATAAGTATCATATTACTTCACAATTGTGATCATGTTTACCAGAACAGGTTTTCTATGTAACAGATGTCATTTGAGAAATAACTGCTATGTCACAAATCAACTGTTTTATATAGCCCCAAAACTTAAAAAACTTTTATTGCATTTGCTCTGAAGGAGACGCATCTTGGAAAGTGATTTTTTTTTATACATGTGTTTTCAAAACAGTTCAAAGTTGAAACCATCACTCTGTCACTGCAAGTGCAACCAATGTGCGATTTTTGTTTAAAAGCTGAAAAAATGCTCATTTAAGAAAAAAATGAATTAATAGCTAAATCAAGCTACGTTGAGTAGCTAAATAAAGCTGCGTATGTAATTCAAGCTAGTAGCTAAAAGTAGCGATTGTACTGGACCTGTTATTCTTGCATCTTGAACCATCACTTTTACTATATTTTTTCTTTAAACAAAGATAACCATTACCTGTTTCCATCGGAGCTAGTATCCTCTCTAACAGTTCCCCACTGTCTGTTCGAAAGATAAGGACCCCAAAATGGTTTTTTCATATCTGGTAACAAAAAGGTGGATTTTTTGTCAATTTGGCGTTGTTAGTGATCAACTTTCATTTTCTCTTTTGAATAAGTTGAATAGCCAACCCGATATCATAAATAAAATTCATTTCTTATTATTCTTAGTTTGTTTTGTTTAAGTACTTTATATTGATTTTTATAAGACTGTGAAGTATTTTTTTTCTTATATTCAAATTATGAAAGATTCTAAAATAAAAATATCAAAAATGAATAACATAATAACATTATATAAACCTAACCCGATGTTATAAAGTGAACGTTTCCCACGATTGTGAAATACTTTTCGTTAAAATGAAAACACCTAGTCCTACTTGTTTTGTTTGTTTGAAGCGTGAATGGAAACTTATAGTTTTGACAAGAAAGGTAATTTATCTTTGTATACAGTCTGTAACTGAAATGAAGTAAACTTACTTTCTACTAGTAACCACAGGTGCTTGTGGACACTACGATAATTTTATTATATCATCATTATTATTTTACTTTTTTTTCAATCTCTAACGATTTTATCTGCTTGTTTCTGTTTAAGAATTACTCTAAAATTACGACCCAAAAGTACTAATGAAGTAAGAATGTTATTGCGTCTCATTCTGGGTCATTTTTAAACAGGAACATATAGGTTAGAAATTAAAAGTAAAAAATTACGCAGTTGATGTTTTTAAACCGACATATACAGATTTTCGAGGATTTGTTATTATGTTTAAACTGTGCTAACAAACACAAATAAATTAATGTGATATGTTTGATAACTATTATCGGTCAGTGGCGGATCCAGAAGTCCATGTGGGGGGGGGGGGGGGTTTGAGGCCTGTAGGGCCGAAGGGGGGGGGCATGGGAGGGGGTGTCCCCCTCCCATAGGTGGGGGTTGGGGGGGCCTCCCCCGAGAAATTTTCTTTAAAAATGGCTCCAAATGGTGCATTTTCCAGCATTTTAGATTGAATTAGTTAGTTTTGGCCACTTTTTTTTCTAGTTGTTTTTCAAGACCAACCTACCCAAATTTTCAAGAAATTGAACAAAAAATAAAAAAATAAAAAAATAAAAATAAAAATAAAAAAAATAAAAAATAAAATAAAATAAAATAAAATTAAATTAAAAAAAAAAAAATAATAAAATTTTGGGATTATTTTTAACTTCCATGTTAACTTGAAAAATGAGACTTTTCTAAAGAAAAAATTAAATTTAAATCTGATAAAATTAGAAATATCGCCATTTGATATATAATATCCAATTCTTCATTTAAAATGCACGTCCAACACGCTTTATCTACCAAAATACAACTGCATGATGTGCAATTTTCCAACACTTACAAAATTCGAATTCTGTGTAGAAACCCTAATTACTTTTTTCAACTACTTGACTATACTGTTCATATAATTTGCAGTATATAAACAAATAATGATATTTCATATTGAAGAATGAATATAAATTATTTTGGGAAATTGTTGGAATTATTGCTTATTCATTGGGGGGGGGGGGTAATTATAATTTCTAACATAAATGCACTCTTTAATTCTTTTTTTTTTACCCACTTACCTGTTTTGAAAAAAAGTCTTGAAAAACATCAATAAAAAAGTGACCAATTCTTGTTTTTGACAGGATCTCTAATTTATACGTATCAGTTTTACCACAATTCATTATATAAAGTTGTAACCATTATTTGGGTTTTATTCAACATCATTCAACTGTAATTAAAAAAAATGCTTTTTAAAATTGCATTGTAACTTCCATCAACAAAAGGAATACTTTCAATATGCTTTTTGGTACAGGTCACAACGTAAACAACTAGACAGTATAACATGGTATACGTCCCTGATGTATTAATTTTTTTTTTTCTAAATAATAATCACAGTTTATTCACGTAGTTCAATAACGTAACATTCAGTTATCGAAGAAAGAAGAAAATTCTCGAAACAATATTACTCAGCAATACCAAAACAAAACCGTAATAACTAAGTGCAGTTTTGGTTGTTGTGTATGACGTTGTGTCTTCACTAGCTGCACGGACTATCATGATCTCTGTACTGTTGATTACCCCTGTGTACTGTGTGCGCTCAAGCGGAAAGGGATTTCGCATGGTGGCTGTATATTTCACCTCTTTGTGTACAACAATGGGTTGGATAGAGTCGCATTTATGCAATATATTGTTAAAATGACACTTGTAAAAAAAATTTTTTTTAATCGGGCGGGGGGGTTTTCCCGAACCCCCCCAAACCCCCCTGAATCCGCCACTGTCGGTTATATAATACTTACTGAAGCTAACTCCGTTCTCTCTCTCTATCTCTCATTACGCACATATGTGTAAAATAATTTATTCATAGGATAGTTGACACACCAAAAAGTGGGTTTAACTTCCTTGTTAGAAAAGCTTTTTCGAAGGTTTTCTTCTGCACTCAATGATTATTTTTAAAATAAAATAACCTTGGTAGGACAGGCCCGTAGGAAGCAATTTCAGTTTGGGGGGGGGGGGGCACATTGAGGGGGCACTATCAACTACCAAAAATTCCTTGACCAAAAAAAAAAAAAAAAGGTCATCAGACGTTTTTATTGAGGGGGCACAAGCATATAGTATCTATTTTTTCTATAGTACTCTATATGTCGGCAAAATTATTGGGGGGGGGGGCACGCCCCCCCCCCGTGCCCCCCGGTTCCTACGGCCATCTAGGAAAGATTGTATGTATGATGTTTTAATGAGTATGTGTCAAGAGAGGTCGAAAACATTTAACGTCCTCTTTTCAACCTCTTTCAAAATAGGATTTTAAATTAGACCTTTGTTACGATTCTTTGTAAAACAATCAAAGAGCATCTTGATGAAATCGATCAACAAATACATGTAATTTATACCACGAGGTGTTAATTCATTTTAATAGCCAGGGGCGTAGCTAGGGGGTGTTTAATCTGGAAGCAAATTAAGGCAGGGGGTTTGGAGGGCGCCTTAAGGCGAAACCCCCGGAAGCTGGCGAGTTTTCAGCATTTCTGACACTTAATTTTGAGTATCCAGAAAAGAGAGTCGGTTATTAAAATAATCCGAGTTTCAACGCTTAAATGCTTATAAAGAAGAAAAATTATTGCCTGATTTATGATTGGATTTTTATTTTTATTTTTATTTTTTTTTTTTTTTTTGGTTTAATTATTATTATTATTATTATTATTATTATTATTTTTTTTTTTTTTTTTTGTGAAAATGATGTGGAAGCACTTGCTTACGCCTAGCTACGCGCCTGTACGTTGTTGAAAATCTTTTACTAATTACTATATTTCCAAAGTCATGAAACTTGAACTATCTTTATTAAGGTTTGGTCAATACTACTTTCTTTTTTTTCCTTAATAGCAACAATAAGCAAGGATGGCACAACATTTAAGTCAAGAGAAAGGAAAGACAACTGTAGTTAATATTAGAAAGTTCAATCTAAAGAAAATGGGCTACAAAGACTTGGAGGATTGGCTGAGGAATCCTGAACACATCTATATAGGGAGAAACATGTCGCATTATGTGCCCGGGGCAAACGCTAGCAAGTGGGGAAATCCCTTTAACGCTAAGAAGTATGGGAGAGAGGAGTGTGTTCGATTATACAAAGAATACATTGAAACAGACAGAGAAATTCGTGAAAACGGTAGAACTCTGTACAATTCGCTGGAAGAGTTGAGGGGCAAAACTCTGGGGTGCTGGTGTCACCCTGAGCGATGCCATGGCCACGCTCTCGTGGAATTGTTGGAGGAAACTTCAAAATGATAGATACATTTGTCCTCATTGAATGAAGAGCGAAGAGAAAAACCCGGTGTTTTTGTCCGCCGTTAAGGGGACGAACATTTGATTCGGGGGGGGGGGGGGGAGCTTACAATTTTTTCCATTGTCAGATTATTATTTTCATATCAGTGAAGGACGGATTGTTTATTTCTAAGATGATCAGAGACAGTTTATTTACTTTTTTTTCTTTTTCACTTAATAAAGTGTAAAGGTGTGACGACAACAACAAAAAGGAAAATTTCCAAACTCAGAAACTCTCTTTCGTGGGGATGGGAGGTGTTGCACCAGGCTAAGACATATTATTTATTTTGCCAGTAGAGGACGTATTATTATACATGTAATACCTCTATAATTCTTATTATAACTTCGTTATCAACTTGTCTCAAACACATTAATTCGGTCTTTACCAATTAAAGATTAACATGATTTGTAAAAGGAATTTATTAAGAGAGTCATCTCTGTCAGCCATATTAGTCTTCGCAAGACTGTCATTCTCCAGCCGCTATATAAGCCTCAGCTTTGTTCAGAGTTCAATGTATGACGCTTCACGGAGTTCACATGAACAGACGTGTCTTTAATTTTCATTATGATAAACTTGGGTCAACAAAAAGACCTCTGTATATGTCTCTGTCACGTCAGTAAAAAAATAGTTAACAAAGATATTCGATAAATTGCACTGGTCAATACATTACAAAGTGAAATAAATACAAATGCATGTTCAGTGAAATAAAACGTAATCAAAAAGACAATGTAAGATAAACTTGCACTACATACAACAGCGACCACGTAAAAGCAGTCAGGTGTAACGAATGCAAAGGATTTATATATCCCCGTGCTGATATTGGAGATAGGAAAACTGACATGGCATATGCTTATTTACGATAAGACTTCATTTGTCAAACCGGAGCACGCCGATTGCGCCGCTTGACCTTTGGCAACCCGGCTTGTTACTTAGTTTGACTGGGGAAGGTTCACCGGCGTACGCCGATCTCGCCGGTTTGAACGACCAGCGAGGAAATCGCCGGTTTAAGGGATAAGGAGGAGAGGTTTAACGAGTCAGTGTTAAAATGTAGATACTTTTTAGCAAATCTGCATTTTCTTTAATTGTTTGCATTTCTTTAACAAATGTCCATTCATACATGGCCGTAGGAAACGAGGGGGGGGGGGTACGGGGGGCCGTGCCCCCTAATTTTGCCGATTTATAGAATACAATAGAAAACATAGCTACTGTATGCTTGTGCCCCCTCAATAATAACGTCTGATGACCCCCATCATTTGTTTTTGCTTGTCAAAGAATTTTTGGTAGTTGATAATCCCCAACTGAAAATGTATGGTTGTGCCCCCTCAAAGTGAAATTGCTTCCTACGGGCATGTGACATTTATATTTAAAATCTATTCACTATTTTGTAAAAATAAAATTCTTCATTAGGTCCAGGATTTTTTTTTTTACATTGAATTTCGAATTATATATATGATATATATATATATATATATATATATATATATATATATATATATATATATATATATATATATATATATATATATATATATATATATATATATATGTGTGTGTGTTAATTGCTATTTATTGAGTATAATTAATTTTTGTTGTCGCCGGGTTACTTCATTTGCCACTTCTCCCCTTTTTACGCCGGATTCGGCGTATGCGTTCTGTGACAAATGAAGTTGGCCTAAGAGAATAGTACTTTGCGTTTTAATTTACAAAACCAAACGTTTTAATAACAAGAGTTGTATTTATTATGGCGGCACCACAGGCCCTTGGCGTTACATATTTTTCTTATTAAAAAAATATAACCCCATATATATACCTAGTAATAATTAAGTATGGGGTTATTATCGGCCACAACAGCGGCCGATCTATTTGTGATTGTGTTAGAAAGTGCACATGGGGAAATGAGACGTTATTTCTTTATTAAGGATATCAGATCCTCAGCTAGGAAGGATAACTCTTAAATTTATTATTTTTATATAAAAAATCTCAAAATGAAGCTTGAAATTGAGATCTTTTCGTGCAACAATTCATTTTATGTATCTTAATATGATTCAAGGTTCTTTGAAGTCTTAAAAACGATCTTGTAAAAAGTTGACATTTGTACCCCATAAAAGAAAAAAATTAATTCATTTTTAGAGAAATTGAATTTCCTTTAGTCTAGCATTAGATACCACTGCTTATTAGCATATGAAATTAGATGTGATATATGATGTATAGCAATGATATCACAAGCTATTTACACTAGATATTACATAACAATTGAAGTAAAAGGAAGAACTAAAATTCTAATAACTGTACATGCAAGCATAAAAAAGATGCAATTTTCTTCAAATGCCTGGATACCTATATTTTGCTATCCTAAATAATATTTGTTGATCAATTTCCAATTAGAAAATGCATAGCTGGTGTTTTTATTCGCATTTCCTGAAAATATATTTGAAATTTGATAATTTTCCCTATATAATATGATTAACTATAATGATGAACTTTGAATAAATTCCATGGTTAAATTCACATTACTATGTGACATCAGAGACATTTTTGTGAGCATTAGCTGATTTTCAGAACCTGAGAATCGGACTACCTTAATTCAGTAAAATAATTCTTTCATGATAACATGTATAAAATCATGAGTAAAATATTTTGAAAACTTGCTTTATTCTAAGTCTTAATTGTTGTTGTTATATTTCAATTTTATCTTCATTTTTCCTCAGATAATAATTAATTAATGGTTATATAAAAAGAGTTTACAATAGGTACTCCCCAACCTGGGAGTGTGTAAAATATGAATTTTCCGGATAAAAAGTGCATGGTGAATAAAAATTTAAAAATTGTTCAACAAGTAAAAATTGTTTTGAAAATGCTATAGCTGCGAATGACACAAGGATATTTTTTCCCTACATTTTGCAGCATAGCCTACTCTGCAGAAATCATCGGCATCGTCACGTGACAAAGATCCCGGAACTTGACCTAGATATTCTTATGATAAATCTGTATAGGACCTACCAAATTTCAATTCAGTATGTGCAACCTCTGCAAAGAAAATGAACGGAAACTGCAAATAATTGGAAGTCCAAGGGGCATAACTCTGTCAAAAATTGCTGGATCGTACCCAAAACAGAACTTGACCTAGATATTATTATGATAAATCTGTATACCAAATTTCATTTCAGTATGTACAACCTCTGCGAAGAAAATGAACGGAAACTGTTGGTGGACTGACCGACAGACAGACCGACCGACAGACAGCAGCAAAGCAATATGCCCTTCCTTCTTCGAAGGAGGCATTAAAAAAAGCATACAGGCAATCAGCGAGTAATATGATAATCAAATTGTGAAAGTTTAGCACGCTTGAGCAAGCAAACTGGAATGGTAATATCTTTGACGAAAAGAATTTATAGAGGAAAAGTGAGAACGAGATTAAAAGTGACCTCATTTGAGTTTTATGGACCCGGAGCATTGTGTTTGCGGTTGGTTAAACGTACAATTCAGCCTTACACACACAAATATATATACATTATGTGTATATAGAGAGAGAGAGAGAGAGACTAATTACAGATCAGCGTTGGAGAATTAGAGATGTCATGAAATTAAATTGTTGGATTGTTCTTACTAGTATTTTGTAAAATGAAAAAAAAAATGATTGTATTGATAATAATAAAATACCTCTGGTCATCAATGGTCAAAAGAATTTGACGTAATCCGTCTGCAGGCAACATTAGACGGATTTCCAGGAGGAAGTGAGATATGTTACAGTGTTTATGTATTTACAACAGAGAGTGAACATAAATTTACTTGCCTTTTAACTCTTTCCGTTATAGCATATATCAAAATCGGTAGAAAACTCAATAGTACACGGATTATTCTTGCTAGCTTTCACTAGATAAATTTAATCAGACATAATTCTTGTAACAGATGGCCATTAAATTACCCTCTTCATCTGTTTCTCAGCAATAACTAAGTTATACAAGTCCACTTATTTCTGATAGTAACAAAGGTCCGCGTCAATCCTTTGGATCTGGAACCAATCAGGCCCGTAGAACGGGGGGGGGGGGGGGGGCGTAGAACCGGGGGGCTCCCCACTCTCCCCCCAAACTTTTTTTCTGAGTATAGTATTTTGCTATTTCCATTAGATGCTAGTTGCCCCCCCCCCTTTTTTGTTGTTTGGTCATGATGTCATAAGCGGATAGGCCCTATTCGTTGTTACCAATCATAAAATGTTGTTGCCTACAGGAATTCTTAACGATTTAAATGGTATACAAACTCCTGGAGACTTTCAAGGCGCAATTGTGCAAAGAGACGAGTTGGCTTCCAGATAGTCTTAAAAGTGAGGAGAAGGCATATCCACCAATGTGTGCCTTTAATCATAATTTATTAGAACCCCTGGTTTTACCCAAATCAAAATATTGACATGTCATGATTTTCTATGATTTTATTGGTTCTCCTGTCTACAAGTTCCTATAATATTACCCAATATTTCAGTTCAGTTACATCTCATTTTTTTCCAATATTACTTTGAAATTTTAGTACTTCACTGACTAGGCATGTGTAATATACACAGAAATAAACATCTTAGGTAGATAGAGAATCCATAGTGACTACCAGTGCATTTTTACAACAAAAAAAAACTTTATTCATTGTGTATACCATTACAGAATAAACCCACATACAATTTTTCTAAGTGCATAAAAATATGTTCAGGAAGTAAATTTCCTTGTTCTTTTTGTTAGTTGCTTGATTTTTCTTGAGTTATGGTTAGTTGCTTTCGTTGAAGAAACATTTTTCTATGTTCATATGGTAAAAAAGAAAATTTCTCTGTTTATGTGGTGGAAAAGCAGACTTCACTGATATTTTTAGGAAGCATATTTTCTCTGCTCATAGCAATCTCACAGTGGTCTGGAAGGACAAATGCATACACTGATCTCAAAATGAATTTAACACGCGTGGATTTGTGTCAGCAGATGATTGCATTAAAAAATAATTGGTGTTCAAAACAAGTAATGTGTCATTTCTAAACATAAACTGAGCAATACAAAAAGATACTGGTTCGTCCTCACTCTAACATATTTATTTATCGTAAGCATAAAAAAGCAGTAAAGTAAAAAAAAAAAAAGGATATATTTGGCATTTTTCTTCATAAACTTTCACCCATGTACCAGGGGTACCTAGTATATAAAAACAAACCCAAAGCTCTACATTCTAAACATTCAAGCTGTTTACAATTTTTTTGACTTTGTTCAACTCTCGATATCACAGTTGATCATAAAATATATTTTGCTCACATTTATTTGTTCACTGGACAAAAAAAATATATATTCCACTCTCATACACATAGATTATCAAGTAAAATTTCATTCTGTGTTTCTTGTGAAGATTGATTTTTTACATCAAACACTGCTTACAGACTATCTAGCAAGTGTTTTCAATGCTTCTCTAAAAACTGCGATGGTGAAATCAACATCAGCCTTGGATATACACATGGGTGGTTTGATGCGAAGGACCTGTAAAAAATTATATTAATATCCTAAATAAATATATGAAAACTGATGATATTCAAAAAAGATTTGCAAATTGTGTTGCATGCATGAAACAGTTAATAGCTCAGCTGAGCTAAAAAGCTTGTTGCTCTTTAAATTAATTCTGAACATATCTATACTATATTCACCATATGTATATGGTAAATAAGTTTAATTCTGCACATGCTAATTTTCATATTTCCTAAACATTCAACTGTCCCTCCATTCTACCGAGATTTCCTTACAACAGTACACTGTTATTCACCATTTTAATGCAACTATAATTTATTTCTCATTGCTTTATTCTCCCATGAAATCATAAAAGTAAAACTGCAGTGAAAAAAAAACTGTATACAATATTCACTTTCACTCTAAAGTGTTGATATAAATACATTAAAAACATACATTTCCAAATATCCCTCCTTTTCCAACTAAAATTCCATGGTCTCTCATAAATTCCCATATCTTGTTTACATCGTCAACAGGTAATGGTGTGATCTTCTCCTAAAATTCAAATATAAAAATGTCGATAAAAAATTAAAGCTGGCATCATGAAATGTCACATTTTTGTATTCAAACAATTTTATTCATGGTTGATTTGCATTAAGACTCAATTAACTTTGATCAGTTATATATATCACAGGACTGAAATTTTCTTAAGGTGTATCATACACATGCTACATGTACTGTATACAGGGAAATTTTCACCCCTACACCCTCATTGCTAGTGGACAAATTTAAAATGGGGTGAATAAAAAAAGACAGCATAATCTCTTAAGCAAATCTTTTGTCTGGCGAATTTAAAGCCGGGCAAAATTGTTTGCCAGAGTTAAAGGGCAAAAATAACACGGGGCAAAAATAACCCTGTATACAGTATATACATAATTGTTAAACATTATCTTTCAAGTAAGGGCCACCACACATTTACAGTGGCGCCTCGTTTATCCGGACGCTTCTGTCCCCAACAAAATCTTCTGGATAAATGAATCGTCCGGATAATTGAATCACTTCTTAAAAAATACTCTCCAAGCCTGTATATATGCACATTCTTGTATCAAGTGTGTCGGAAAAGAAAAGAGACTTTAATATTTTGGTTTATTGTTTTAACTTTATAGTTTTAAAAGAAGTAATTAATCAAAGAAAAAAAAAATAATTTGTACAATAAAAAATGGATAGGCAATTTTATGCTGACACCTCCTTTTAAACACAGTGAATTTCATTCGCCTTCTCTAGGGCATTGGACTTCATGGGCTGAGCAAATTTTGATATACTGTTGTTTTATTTTGCCATATTTTATATTTATTGAAGCTCATATGATATGACAGAACTGTTCAGCATCATCATTGAAAATGTTCAAATATAAACTAACCCTTATTCCCCGTATATCTATTAACTCAAACACGCACAATCAATGACAGTATTAAAATCAATCAACGTAAATACAAGCTATCTTCATGATTATCAATATTCTTTCTACAGACTCTAGGTTTGAATTTCAATCATTAAACAATACCTTGAAAAATGCAATCAACTTCTATACATAATGCCAGTTTTATATTTCTTTTCTAAAGTAATGTACCTTTGCAGACAGTAGTAAAAGATATTTCTTCATTTATGTACCTTTCTAAACTCTCTTGTGGGTAAAAAAGCGTTTCAAATACATTTACGTTTTAAGAAATGAAAAATCGTATTTTAAACATGATAAATAGCAGTACGAAATCGCTCGCAATTTATTGTTCATTTTATTTACAATTCTCCAAAATTGTCATGAATTTAGCAATATTATTTTGAACGGATTATTATTTAATTAATGCACAGTGTAAACTAAATTCTTTGGGCTTCATAATAAATGTGTGATTTAATTGGGGTAATCACACGCTAATTATAGACGCTATTGTTTGTAGGTCACAGGTAACTGCCTTCAAACTGAATGCATGGCCAATGTTTTTACAACAATTAGTACTACTGCAAGATAAGTGTGAAAAAGTCGTTTCTTGAAAAATTACCATCTGGATAAACGAGTCATTTTTCAATGAACTACTACGTTTCATAGTAGAAATCAACCGTCCGGATACCGAACGTGAATATCCGGATTAATGAGACAAAATAACGTTGAAAAAATCGGTTCCCAAAAAATATCGTCTGGATAGTGAAGCGTCTGGATAAATGGCATCGGGATAAACGCAGCACCACTGTACTTCCCTTTGGCAAGCCAAATTTAAATAATAAGAGCTTCTCAATTGTATTAATTTTCACAAAACTTAAATTTTAGAATTTTTAAATTTTGGGTTAAAAATGTTATCAGACAGACAAGTCAATTAAACTGAATCCATAGAACTAGGATTTATCAGTAAATATAGGTCAACACAATCGGATCATGGAACTTTTAAATTCTTAGTTACCCTCTCCTTGACTAGCTCCACTCCAATCATTAAGCCTTTTCCTCGGACATCACCAATAGTTTCAAATTCATCCATCATTTTTCTAAGTTCCAAAATGAAGTAGGTCCCGGTGGAGGCAGCATTCTCCTGAATTTTTTCTTCCTTGATCACCTGTTTGCCCAAAAGAGGATTATTAAATACATTTGATATTTGCTAAGGTTGGATATATTGCATACAAAAATATCTAAAGGTACACTTCTTTAATTAATTGCTTTATGTCATCTGAAAATTTATTGGCACATGTACAGAATAATGGATTACTTTTGCAATAATCCAATCTTTGCTTTCTTTGGGAGCATTTTTAGAAAAACGTTTGCATTAAATTGTCATCGGTTGTATATGGTATAGACTACATAGATAACTTATTAACTAACTGTGAGAATCACAAAATTAGGACATCACAAATTAAAAATACCAGTGTTTTGGGAGTACTTTTGCAAAATTTGTGATTTGCAGAAAATGCTCAATATACAATATTCAAGAAACATGACATTATCTGAGTAAAATTAATCATAATTAATATACATCCTTTATGCACAACAGCTTGCAATGCAAAATCTATTCCTCAAATTTAGGTAGCTTGTGCAAAATCTTGGTATAAATGGGTTCAAAAAACAGCTAAACCAGTGAGTGTGTGCAGTTATGTTTGTAATAATTCATATCGGGATTGATGAGCTCTTTTGTGGGGGGATACTCTGCTTTGCAATGCCCTTGTATCTACCTAATTCACATTGTCAAAAATATGGTAAATCATGACAAACATCAATCCAACAATGACTCACATCCAATACAGCAGATCCTACAGCACAAGCCAAAGGATTCCCTCCATAGGTGTTGAAATGCAGGGCCTTTGCCATGGATAAGGCAATTTCAGGGGAGGTTACCACTGCTGCCAAGGGGAAACCATTTCCAATCCCCTTTGCCATTGTAACTAGAAACAGAATATGTTAGCAGGTAATATTTCCTCTGGCCATTCTGCATAAATTCTTTCAACATACATATTATTCAGTGCCCTTTTTTTGATGATATGACGCTTTTTTTTTTAAACAATGGCTGATGCATCATCAAGCCAAACCTCAAGACTGTTAGACATTCAAAAATCAAAACATTATATGTAAACTCACCAATATCTGGAATAACGCCATGGTTTTCAAATCCCCAGAAATGTTCACCCAACCTTCCAAATCCTGTTTGGACCTGGAATGTATATATATATATATATATATATATATATATATATATATATATATATATATATATATATATATATATATATATATATAATATAATTTTGTACTTTAAACTAAATGTGTCATTATCACCACGAATGCCCCCGCAAGCAGCCAAAATTTCAAATGCAATATTTAGTTTTAAATTTGTGTTCGAACTTGACTCGTATTTTTTGGTAAAATACCTGAATATGCAATTTCAACCTTTTACATACATCCCTACAAAAGATAGAGAGCAGAAACTGAAAATTTCTTTCTTTTTTTAAATTCGAGAGGGATAACTCTGTCAAAAATCATCGGACCATGACCAAATTCAAATTTGACCTTTATTTTCTTGTAAAATACATGCACATGCAATTTCAACCTTATACATACATCACTTCTAAAGTTAGAGAGCGGAAAACTAAAAATTTCTTATTTTTTCCTAAGTTCCAGAGGGATAACTGTCAAAATTCATCAGACCATGACCAAATTCAAACTTGACCTGCATATTTCTAAGATGTATCCATATGTCAAATTTGAGTTGAATGTGTGCAACTGTTGCAGAGATAATGAATGGAAACTGAATGACGATGGAACAGGGTTACCCTATATGCCCTGGCCATTTCATGGCAGGGGCATAAAAACATCATAGATATATGTAAATGCAACAAGAAATAAGCACAATGTTAGAGATACATGTGATTATTTACCATTGCTGAAAATTATTTATTTAAGCAAGTAACGGTACTTAATATTGCAAAATGACTTGTGGACATTAAATCAGGACTAGAAATAATAATTTTTTTCACTGGTCACTCGGGCTATCATGTTAAATTTTTACTGGTCATCTCAGTACTTTCACTTTCCCACTGGGCCAGTAGATTTTAAAAAGACTCGCCCAAACCAAAACAATAAAATTATTATTTTGTTTATATTGTGATATTTAATGGTACAACTTAACAAAACAAGAAATGTCAGAACTTGGACGCATGACCCTGTCAAGTTAACTAGCCCGACCACGAATGAATTTTGTTATGCATAAAAAAAACACTGACCCAAAGGGCACATGCCCTCTATAATGCACTAGCCCAGATTAAAAATTCACTGACCCCAGACCAGCGGGCCATCAATTATTTCAAGCCCTGCATTAAATTACATGCCCATTAATTTGAGTCTACAGTTGATGATGTTTTCTCATGTACTTTATTTACTGGCCTTAATATCTTTTGGACTTCCTTTATTTAGATACCAGATAATAATTTTGTCGGTGCAGCACATTGATCACTGTGTGTTACAGTGTAAGCATATGGTCAGACCACTGGTTTTCAATGTGATTTCTTATCCCTTCAGAATGGAAAATTTGGGACAACTCATCTTGGTTTACCTTGATATAACAACTGTAGGGGTAGTACAACACCACTCATCATGCAGTAATAACAAGCAAGAGGTCATAGAACATTTATCAACAATGCCGCCAATATGGGTGGTTTAAATATTATTTTTTCAATATTTTATACCAATTCCGCAAATTCATCAAACTACGATTGTGTCAGAGAGAAAAACATGAAAATTACAACCCGTAGAATTAATCCCCTATACAGCAGGTAACAATGTAAACTGATTATTTGATAAGGATGACTCCCATTTGAAATGCTCTTTCATATGAGTATTCATGCCATAACTTGGATGATTTATCGTCCATTATGTGGCATTAGGGATGTTAACAACATTTCTTTGAAGCTTAACTGAACCAACCTAATGATCTTACCTCATCTGATATGCAAATTCCACCTTTAGATCGGACCATATCAAATGCCCTCTTCAGGAAATTCTTGGGAAATTGTGTTGTTCCACCTACTCCCTATAAAAATTTTTTTCCCAATATGAAATTTCTTTGGCATATCTGATACACATGTGCTGTGGATATTTACAGTTGCTAAACTTGCATTAACTATATGCATAGGAGTTATTTCTGTAATATTAGGATTATAAATTGTTATCTTATATACCATATAAAAAAGAGATATTTGTGAAACACTGATCCCCCCCCAAGTAATTGGAATTTTTCCAAGTCCAAGGGGCATAACTCTGTCAAACATAGGTAATCAAAGATTACAAAGCTCACCTCGAAGAATATTATCTTTAAGGCAAATTTCACAGCATATTCTTTTTTTAGTTAGTGTACATCCCAAGATCAATATCTAGGCTAGTTTGGTTTAAGTACGACTTACAGTTACTTGGAAATAGACCTGTTCAAAAAAAGTTTATCCTGTTTACTAATCAAGAAAATTTTGGTCAGTTCCAACATCCGAAGTAAGTCTGGAAGTTTTCATCCTTAGATGCACCATCTATGCAAGTTTAATCATAACAGGCCATAATGTTATATAGCTACTCCAAAAAAATTATCCTGGTCACTCATCTGGAAAATCTAGGTCAGATCCAGCATCTGAAGCAAGTGTGGTAGCATCCATCCCTAGATGCATCATCCATGCAAGTTTGGTCCAGGTAGGGCTAATAGTTACTTGGGTATGGACCTGCTCCAAAAACTTTAATCCGGTCACTCATCTGGAAAATCTAGGTCAGATCCAGCATCCAAAGCAAGTGTGGTAGTGTACATCCTTAGATGCATCATCCATGCAAGTTTTGTCAAGGTAGGGCTTATACTTACTTGGGAATGAACTTGCTCCAAAAACTTTAACCTGGTCACTCAACTGGAAAATGTAGGTCAGATCCAGCATCCGAAGCAAGTGTGGTAGTGTCCATCCCTAGATGCATCATCCATGCAAGTTTGGTCCAGGTAGGGCTTATAGTTACTTGGGAATGGACTTGCTCCTAAAACTTTAACCGGGACGCTGACACTAACGCCGACACCGACGCTGGGGGTACAACATAAGCTCATCTTGATTTCGTTGAGGTGAGCTAAAAATTGCTTGGTCGTACCCAAAACAGAACTTCACCTAGATATTCTAATGATAAATCTGTATACCAAATTTCATTTCAGTATGTGCAACCTCTGCGAAGAAAATGAACAGAAACTGCAAATACACTGTAAATGGAAATTTTCTGTCCAAGGGGCATAAGGCTGTCAAAAATTGCTCGATCATACCCAAAACTGAACTTGATCTAGATATTCTTATGATAAATCTGTATACCAAATTTCATTTCAGTATGTGCAACCTCTGCAAAGATAATGAACAGAAACTGCAAATAAACGGAATTTTTCAAAGTCCAAGGGGCATAACTCTGTCAAAAATTGCTCGATCGTACCCAAAACAAATCTTGACCTAGATATTCTTATGATAAATCTGTATACCAAATTTCATTTCAGTATGTGCAACCTCTGCGAAGAAAATGAATGGAAACTGTTGATGGACCGACAGACAGACCGACCGACAGACAGCAGCAAAGCAATATGCCATCCACTCTTTGAAGGGGGGCATAAATATGTGCAAATTATTACTGTAATTGTTATGCAGGAGAATATATATATGTCTACAAAAAAAAATTCTTATTGTAATTCTGCCCATAGATAAACACAGGTAAAATACTTCATTTACAGTTAATGTTAATTCTTTGCATATGTTAAGGAGTCACAGTCTTACCTGAATGGATTCAGCGAAGAATGCCCCACATTTGTCTTTGGGCATAGAAAACCTCAACACATCCTCCAGCTGTTCAGCATATTTAACCCCAGCCTGACATTCCCCAGCCCCACAGTCACAGGACCTGAGGGTCTAAAAAAGAAATCACAATTTTTTTTAAGAAAGATGATAACTTGGCATCCAAGTCCTATACTTTTAAAGACCTCAAACCTAATAATTGTATCATGTTCTCCTGAGACCCTTGAAAGCTTGTCTTTTTTATAATTTTCTCTGCCACAGTTATTAAAGGTGATGTTATCAGTTATCCCTCCTTTTTTGTCAAGATGTCTAAATAACGTAACATCAATAAATACACTGTATATTGGCTACTCATTTCTTAATAATGCACTTTTGAACTACCTGGTATCCAACAGCCAAAAAATTGGTGTTAAATGTGTATTTCTATTTTAGTTCAAGGGGATCAAAACAGTATTGAATTAAAGGGGCATATTACATTTCCGCAAATTTTGAAAATTTTTATTCTTACGTTTCCATGAAAAGTTCATATATGTTTTCACAAAAAAAGTACACAGCTATTTTTGTACCTAAGCACTTTGTTTCTGCAATGTACCTGTAGTGAAGATTAACAAAGAGTCAAAGACAAACTTGACATTCTGTGTACCAGTCCATATGAAACACCAAGTTGCCAGGACTGAAATTTTAAGGAATGTTGAGTACAAATTTGGTGCCCTAACAGACATGTGAGATGTTTGGCACCAACTTCATATCCGATGGCAGCTGTGATAATATGCATATAGAAAATATTATATAGGGCTAAGGCTACAGCTAGGGTGTCATTTTGTACCTAGCAACCAGAAGAATCAGTTTTTATCACTATAGAATAAATTTTCATATGTAAATTTTTACTTAAATTACATACATTAATTTTTATGCAGTGCTACAGAGTGCTACTTTATCAGAATGCAATATTTTTAAACAGGTGTTGTTTTATCAGTGTTGGATATTTTATCATGCATTTTTACTGCATTATTTTATCAATAAATACAATTAATTACATGTATTAACAAATCTTTACCCATGTGCCAGTGATCAAGGTAACATATTTGCAGAATCATAAAACATATTTGCTGAATTGTAAAACTTTTTTAGTGGAAAGGTAATATCAATTTGCGGAAACGTAGTACACTGAATTAGATATTTGTCAACATACATTCCTATGTCATATACTTTTTCACTTTTATGTCATACTGACATTTTTAAAATTCATACTGCAAAAAGAAACTATAATTAAAACACGTCCATATCAAAACAATCATTATTCTTTACTAATCACCATAAATTTCACTGACATTGGATATTTTTTAACAACTATTTTATTTTGCTTGTTTAAACTCAATTGGCTATCCATGTAACAACACCATGTTACAACACCATGAAGTTGACAATGTTGACAATGTTGACAAAGAAATGTGATGCCCTAAAACATGAATGCAACCACACATAATCTTAATTTCTTTGATGAATTAATCTTATGTGTAAACCAATGTACATATTTTGCAAAAGAAGACCCTACACTAAATTCCATCTTACTGAATATGATCTCACCTGGGAGGGAGAGTCCCTACAGTTTGCACCTCCCCAGGGGCCTCTGTAGGGGTCAGGATTCATAGACTGCAAAGAAAAAATTTTACCATTCAAAACACTTAATGTTACAGCATAATTATTGTAATATAAATAAATTTATTAAGATATAATGCTCTCACAAAGCAATTTTCTATTAAATTCATGCTATCAACTACAAATGCTGCTGTAAACAATACTTATATAGCTGGCATTCTAAATGTCTTTCCATGTCTTATTTCCTATTAAAAATTGGTGAAAACATTGGTGAAAAACCAACAAAAAAAAAAAATAAAAATAAACTAGAAAACTGACCAGTCAACAAGTGCCCCGCCGAGGGGAAGAAATATAAGGGTGCAGCTTACAGAATGAGAATTTTAATTGATTACAAAAATTAAAAAATATCTGAAGAAGAATATGCAATAACAACTGTATTTATAAAATTTCAAGATAATTCCTAAATATCCAACAACCTGTAAAGAGTATCCCTGTATTTACATAAGGCAGTAAAAAACATCATATCTATAATAACTCAATTAAATGTATATTTAAACAAGAATAAAGCATGTGTTTTATAAAATGCCAGCCTTCAGTGAATGCAAATATCACCCAGGCTTGACCTTAACTTCAAAACAAAAATCAGTTGCAGACAAAGGTTAATTTATCTTAAAGTGACAAATAAAGATAAGCCTGGAAAATTTTCGGCCCCAGACAAGATAATCCCAGGGGATTAATTGTACTGCTCTCTCATCCTTTTCTTCCAAGTTTTACAATAAGAACTTTTTCAGTAATGATAGAATGAGTTTATTATCAGACTACCTGTTAAAATTAATAGTACATGTATTCTTGAATTTACATAAGGCAGCCAAAAAAAAAAAAAATGAATGAATAAATAATAAAAATACATATCTTGATGTATATCTTGTCTTTGAGAATTCAATAAAATCATAACTCATTATGCATTTTACCAAAATAAAGCTTGAACATTATTTAAATCCTCATTTCACAGAACATCATTCAGAATTGACATTAACTTCAAAACAAACTTCATTTGCAGACAGAGGTGTTAATTAATCTCAATTTGACAGAAACAGCTAATGCTTTGGATTTTCTTCTAGAGGAAAGTTAATTAATCCCATTGGACTAGTTGCAGCTTTCATACTTTACAATAGGAACATTCTCAGCAGTTATCTCTCTTTGGCCCGGCATTCATTCTAATGTAAAGTTTAGGAATCTACCCCACCACCCAAGCTCCAAACTGGATGACATAGAGAACCAAACTTAGCATCAAAATATGTCTTACTGCCTCTTCAACCAACATACCAAATTTGAACTTAATTGGTCAACTACAAAAAAAGTTATTAGAAAAAAACAGAAAATTTCTGGACAGAAGAATGACAGACGGACAGACAGACAGATGGACAAACAGACAGACAGACAGAGTGATTACTATAGGGCACCCACAAATCCTTGCGGGGCCCTAATAAATAAATAAAATTTGCACTTTCCAAACTACTCTTTTGATTTTCTTCACAAAATTTGTGGTTCCCTATTTTTTAAATTTATTCATTCATTGTTTGGTCTGTAGAATAATAGATTGTCACATAACCTGATGAATGCCGAATCCAGTTGGAACATTGAACCTCCATGTGGACATAGCAGTTAGACCCATAAGGTATGGACTAGCACCGTGGTAAGCATTCCTGAATAGTAAAAAAAACATGAAGGAATTAATAGTGAATAACATCAATCTATACAAAAAGAGACAATCTAATGAGCTCAGTAGAAAACTAGAGGAACTGTGAGCACTGAGCTCACAAAATGATATCCCCAGCCTCCCATATGTTTATAATGGCAAAGTTTTGCTATGGGAGACCCGAAACAAGCGTCCAATCAAAAAGCAAAACAGGAGGTGCACAGTGGCACTATGTCATAAAGATTCCATGAAAGTATCATTTATTTTTATTCAGTGGAAAAGGAAGAGTTGCGAATAAGAGAAGGGTACCCCTAAAATATCATAGAAAGAATGGCATTGTTCTACGTTGTGCTACTGGAAACCCAAAATAAGTGTCTGATCAAAAAATTAAAATAGGAGGTGCATACTGGCACTAATAAAGATTCTGTGAAAGTATTATTAAATTTTATTCAGTGGTAAGGGAGGAGTGAGGATAAGAGATGAGTACCCCTCAATATTATAGAAAGAATGGCAGTGTCTATGTTTTGCTATAATAAATCTGAAATATGTGTCCGATCAAAAAATTAAAATAGGAGGTGCACAATGGTACTATGTAACAGATTCTGTGAAAGTCTCATTAAATTTCATTTACCGGGTAGTGGTATAAGAGGAGTTACAGATAAGAAATTGGTTACCCCAAAGTGTAACGGACGGACGTACAGACGGACGGACACCCCCATCACTATACACTTCCCCCTTTTCAAGGGGGGGGGGGTTATAATAATCATATATACAATTCTATTTTTTAGGTATTAATGCTATTTGTAGATTAAAATTCTCATTTTTTTAACAGGATTTAAATTTGTTAAAAATCTTTTTTGCTTACAAATTCAAATAAATTCACAATTCCCACACACTAACTTCAGATCTTTAAACTTTTTTCCTTTTTTTTTTTAAAAAAGGGAGACCACTTGCCTGAGTGAGATTATATCAAAGACGCCAGTGTGCATCCTAGCCATTAGAACTGCTAGATCATTGGCCTCAGATCCACTGTTTGTGAAATACACAACCTGTAAATAGCATCAAATACTAGAGGCCAATACCGACACCTATGATTTAGAGACATGTGCCATTCTTCGTAGGTCAACTATCCACTGGTTAAGTATGGGTTTTTATATGCTATGATTATATTTAACAAAAAAGAAATTGAATATATTCTTCCAGAATAGCAAACTGCATACCAACATGGGCTTTGTACTTTCAAAGGTAGTGTGTTCTTTTTTCTTAAAACAAACAAAATATTTTCTTTTCTTTTTTTAAAGATAAAGAAGACTGAAATTAACTTACCTTTAAATTCCCAGGTAATTTAGATGCCAACTTTTCAGCATATTCATGAATTGTTGGATGAAGATAAATGTTTGTTGTATGCCATAGGTTATCCATTTGTTTCTTAGCTCTTTCTGTTACCTTCCTAAAATGATACTAAAAATTATACACAATGATTGGATTTTTGGGTTTTCAAGTCTACAATTGCACTTACTGAAAGTATTTTAAAGTTTCTCTGTTTGAAATAACAGATATGATGAAGGAGAGGCATACTTAGTAGGTATTTTTGCAATTTCAACATTCAAATATTACTGCAGCATTTTTCAATTTTTAACTCTGCTTTAAGGTTCACTAAACTGGTTTATGCATTCTTTCTTACTGCAGTATTTTACTTACGGGTGGCAATGCCCCACACTAACAGTGACAATGCCCCCAAACAAATCCAAGTATCTCTTTCCCTCTGTGTCCCAGAGCCACTGCATGTGACCCTGAACAATCATGATTGGATTCTTGTAATAGGTCAAAAGGGCAGGGGTCAGATGTGACTTTCTGACTTTCATTGCATCATCGTAAGATATGCCCTGGAAATGATAAAGGAAGATACAGTACAGTAGGAAACCTCAACAGGACACATTCAGCACAAGGTTGTGTGTAATACACAGTTATCCTTAGTCATCATTGCCATGTTTTCTATCCATATCCTTAAATGACCTGAAGGAAATATAGTGTATCTCTCTTCATACATTAGAGCTTTTTTCATGAATTTTATATGCAATGGGAAACTGACCCCCCCCCCCCCACCCATTCCATCCCAATTTTTTTTCTCTTTTCTTTCTTAAAATTGAATCACATTGGCAATGCCCTTTTCCGTTGCATGCTGGAAAAAGACTCAGAGATAAGCATATGAATGCTGCTCAAATTGAGCATTTTGGAAAAGATTTTTTTACAAGTTCCCAATTTTTTGCCATAATTGCAATATAAAAACCCACTAAGGCAAAATGGTAATTTATCTACTCAGACCAAAATGAAATAAGTCATTTTACCGTGTATTTCTGGGGGGTGATTCCCGCAGGAGGCATCTCTGGGATAGAACTGTAGAAACATCCACATTGTCTTCCTAAAAGTAAAATTTCTTATAATAATTTCAAAATAAAAGTATTGAGAGTAATAAAACAAAGCGACAATTGATGTTTTATTAATTGACAATTAAATGCTAATATGTATCTTTTACGTATTATGAACCAAATGAATTATTGTACCAAATATGGTACATATTTGTATTTTGGTTTGAAATAAACACACTTTATGCCCCTGAAGAAACTTTAAATAAAGGTGTCTAAATGAATTCTTTTGAAAAAAAAATTAACCCAATGAAAACAGACTTATTAGTTACTTGGAAATGAATTAGAACTTTAACTGGGACAGGGATGTCATGGTGGGGGTATAGCACAATGCTCATCTCAACTTTGTCAAAGGTGAGCTAAAAATGCTAGATGTAAGCGGCTGAACAGGTAATCTTATTTGTCATGGGGATGTCTGTATATTGTTTCGTTTCCCATGTCTATTTTTGTAAATGGTGTTCTGTTGTTAGTGGTTTGCCCTTTCTCACCAATTCATTTTAATGGGAATCCATAATTTTGCACATGAAGACAAAATATATTTGTATGCCAAATATTTTTATTTATTAATATATATATGTATGCAAAGATATGATCTACAATGACTTAATGTATAATGATCAACTTTCATTCCAATTCCTCATTGCTTTGAAAAGGTTGTCTTATGATACCAACAATATCCGCATGCACATCATTTATTCAGAACACACCAACTTGAAATCAAAGTCCGTCATGTCTGGGCAAATAAAGTAAAAATTCACTGGCATATTTATTTTTTGTATGACATCTGAATTGGTTAATCTCTTCCCAACAATCTTTAAATTGTAAACAGTACAGAAGCAAAACATTTTATGCAAAAATCAGCAAAATGTAAAAGTAAAGAAAATGTAAATTTAAGTCCTCAAGCATTTAGAATTAATAGAATACCATGCTTGATTAAATTTTCTGCTCAACATAGGCAATCAAATAAAATTTGTTTTCATCTTTATTTTAAACTGATAAATTATTAATTTTAGTAATTAAAAGAGGTAGAAATAAAACACACAATAATCTACTTCCTTTATCAATGAAATGGGTTTTTAAAAAAAAAAGATTTTTTTACCAACAACAAATTAATTAAACAAAAAAAAAAGCATCTGAGTTAACAACATTATAGGAAGGCTCAGAAAGATGGAGGGTCCATTTACATGTACTTTATGGATTAGTCAACAGTCAAATTGAAATATTTTTTCTTTAAGATAAACACAAAATTCAGAGCAACCATTTAAAAAAAAATGTTTGGGTTTATGCATGGTATTATCTCCAGCCCCTGACTTTGAATATAGGCCTAATCCAACTGAGAAAAATTGGTGCGCATGTACAAGGTAACGGCAAAGTAAATAAACCTGGTCATGTCCAACAACTTATATCAGGTACTAAAGCATTTTATGAACAAAAAAAAAACACAAACACACACAAAGGTCAACTGGCAAGTCGGTGAACGCAAGGTCAGATACCCACTCAGCTGTTGTTTACAAAACACAACAACAAAAATACATGCATTAATTATTTGCCCCATATATCTGATGCGGTTATTTTTTTTATTATAATTCTGACAAAAAAATATGCACTTCTCATTTCTTTAAGTTCACATCAAACTATTATTACACAATTATAGCGATCTAAATAATTTTGAAGGGGTTGCTGGGTTGACACTAAAGATAGTATTTACTGAACCAGAAATCATGCAGTATATGTGTGGCTTTTTCATTTTTTTTTCTATGTGCCTAAAAGCTTCTGCATGTTAAATCAATGTACCAGCATCTCCAATGAAAAAATTACATTTCAAATCAGAAAGACGCGAAAAATCTCGCACAAAAGTCCACGGGCACTGGAGTAATGTAAATATTGAGTATGTGCATGCACGTGCACATACTCAATATTTACATCACCGGTAACTTCCAGTCAATATTTACATTAATTACCAAACCAGTGCAAAAGTCTAAAGTATCTTACAAGAGGCAATACGGTAATAATTAATGTTACGCAAGATGCATCCTTATTTTCTCGGGAGTTCACTCCAACCAGGTCCAACTCATGCAACATTTTTTTTTTAAATAAAATTATTTTTAAAAATGTGTATACATCCATGTACCGCACCATATCTCAAAATCCAACGCAAAATTCATCAAATTTATACATACCACATAGAGTTCTCCTCAAAGTTCGAAGAGCCATGATACAGCCTCTACAGCGACCCAGTTAAGATAACCGGCTGTAACTACCTTCGCTAGCTTCAGCTAGTAAACTGGAGAGCCGACCTAGTTTCACTGCGCACAGTGCGTGCGAAATACTACGGAGAGCCATTACAGAAAACAGAGTATGATAGCATCGGGAGGTAATCCGAAATATCGTTTTCCAGGCATTTTTAACGATTTTGATATTTGACGTGCTAATCGGGCGGCTGAAGCTATACAAACTCGGTATTAGCTAATCAGCTAACACTGTACACTTACTGCCGACGGATTTAGAGGGGCCCAGGGAGCCCCCCTCCTTTGTGACCAAAAATATACACAAGATTAATAAATCAATTCATTGCATTTTAAATTATACCTAAAATATACTTAAAATAAGTCAAAAGCTGTTCCAAAACCTCCTAAAACATGAGAGCTTTCGGGGGCTTCGCCTCTGGGCTCCCACCCCGACCCACAACTGGTTGCCCCCTTTCTTTCAAGAATCCTGGATTCTCCACTGACTCTGTAATTTGAAGCTTCGTAGGTCCAAACAATTTTGCAACTGTGCATTTCTGTGAGGTCAGATGAGGATGTTTTTCGAGGAAGGGGTGTTAAAAATTAGATTACAGTTCAATGAAATCAAGTTCAATGTATCAACACGATCCCAACAAATTTACACCAAAATGAACATAAAAGGTCTTTTTTTTTTCAACATTAATCGGAACAAGAAAACTTTATGCTTCCATCAATTGGTACCCGAGAAGCATACTACATAAAATTCTTTTTATTCTTATATATAGGCATAATTATAAGACATTCAATGTCAAATCGCTGCAAATCAGTTTTGTTTGATTTCATCCAGATGCTCGTCCCCGACGTCGGAGATTTACGAACTCGGAAGACAACCGAGCGCCTGGTGTAACATATCCTCGACTTTTACCTGTTTACAGAATAACAACTCATAGAAACTGAGGATTTTATGACCCCCCCCCTGTTATTTTCCGTTCTTATTTTTTTTCTATTGCAAGAATAAGTGTGGAACCATCACATAATGAGTCATTCTACGATAAAAAGACCAATTCAGCAGTGCACCGGGCGCTTGGCGAAGGAACAGTCACTACCTATGTTTACGTCTAAGGTTTGATGCGTCGCGGCGAACGAGAATCGAACCCGGCCTCCGGGGATATTACATATGTACCCTGATTTTAGATGTCCCCCCCCCCACCTACCTGAAGTCTGTACCAGCTATTCTGTACAATACACCCTAATCCCCTACCTACTTTAGACACCTATAAGATTTAGCATGAGCATGTTACCCTGATCCCAGATGTTTTCCCGCCACCGATATACATGTATCTGTAGTTCATATTAGCTAAATTTTTTGCACAATAAATGCTGTTTCCCTACCTACTTTTGACAGTCAGAAGATTTATTTAGCATGAGGATATCACCTTGATCCCAGATTACCCCCCCCCCCCCGCGCCTACCTGCAGTTTTCTAGCAGCTAAAATTCCTGCAAAATACACGCTATTCCCCTACATTCTTTGGACAGCCCACAAGATTTTATTTAACATGAGAATATAACCCTGATCCCAGATGTTTTCTCTCTACCAGTAGTTTGTTCTACCCAAGATTCCTCCACAAAATACACGTTTCCCCTACCCACTTTTGAGAATCACAAGATTAATTAAACATGAGGATATTACCACGATCCCAGATGTTTTCCCCCACATAACTGTAGTTTGTACCAGCTAAGATTCGTGCACAATACAGCTATTCCCTTACATACTTTCAACAACTAGAGGTAAATTTAACATGAGGATAATACTCTGATCCCAGATGTTTTCCCATCTACCTGTAGTCTGTAAGGAGTAAAATTCATACAAAAGACGCACTTTTCACCTAGCTGCTTTCGTTAGGTATCAAATCAATTTTACATGTACATTTAACAGTGATCCCGAACGGTTTTCCCACCTACCTGTAGTTTGTACCAGCAAAGATTTATACCCAATGCACGTTAAACTACATACTTTTATTAATTAGGTTACGGATTAATTTTACATGTACATTTTACTATTCTAGATAGTGTTACCCACATACTTGTAGTTTGTAACAAATTATTTTTCTACCGATTACAATTCACTTTCTCGCTTACTTTTGACACGTACCATAATATTTTAACTTGTGCATCCCTTTGTTTCCCATCTGCCTGTAGTTTGTACCAAATTATATTTCAACACAATGCAGTCATTTTCATAACTATTCTGACAAGTAACATATTGTTTTACCTTCTTATTCTTTTCTTACCAACATGTACATGTAGTTTTTACTAACTTACATTCCCACAAAATACACACTTTTTTCCTGTACTAGTATCACATTTGTTCTACCAGCAGATCTAACATTGATTTGGGGTGTTTTCATTTCTCCTTGGTCGGCAGCAACTTAGATTTTTACAGATGCAAGTTTAAAAAAAATTAGAACGACTAGTATTCCTTGTTTTGTTATATTCTACTTTTGTATATAGCTCAGACCTAAGAAATAAGGTTCATTTCTTTTCATATTACAATAAAAATGTTAAATTGGGCAGGATATTCAATATAACATGGACATAATACCAGTATTTCTAGTGTGATGTTGACTGGTAAGCATGGCCGACACAAATGCAGTTAGCGTGCTGTATTTAGGATTTTGTCATACGCCGATCTGGATTTGCAACCACCTGGCCAAGATTTGCGTGATTTGCGGAATCTCTATTTTTTCTCTATTTTGGGAAAATTATATATTACATGCAGAGTATTTACATACAGTACACTTTGCCATATTGTTTTAAATGGATGTCCACCGCCAGCGCCAAAGACAAACATAAAACATGGCTTACTACAAATATGTAACCAACTTACCACGACAACAGACTATTTTTATCAGGACGTTGTTTCAATAAAAACAATGTTTTCTTATATTCATTATACTGGCTAATTCTCATATTATGTGAACAGTTAACACCAATTTTACATGCCCCTTTCATAATGTGTTTTAGCGATACGGTCGTTTAAAAGATCTAATTTTCAATTCGTTAAAAAAAAGAAGAAACAAGATGTGTTTGTCAAACACTGGTGCCCCCGTATGGCAACTTATAGCAAAGGTTAAACTTTCTCAAATGTAAATCAAATATGTTGGTACCCAACGTAAGGTCTAGACTCGAGGAATATACCTGTGAAATATGAAAGCCCTAGCAGCAACCATTGAATAGATATGAAGAAAGGTTAAAGGTTTTCAAAAGTACGAGAAAACATCAAGGTCAAGTTCAAATGGTCAAAATTAATGGTGCCCAAGGAAAGGCCTTCTCCAAAGAAATACACAGGTGAAATATGAAAGCCGAAGCACCAATCGTTCTAAAGTTATAGCCAAGGTTAAAGTTTTCCAAAAGTAGGTCAAACTCCAAGGTCAAGGTCAAAGGGTCAAAGTTATTGGTATCCAAAGGAAGGCCTTGTCATAAGGAATACACATGTGAAATATGAAAGCCCTAGCAGCAACCGTTCAAAGTTACAGCCAAGGTTAAAGTTTTCCAAAAGTAGATCAAACTCCAAGGTCAAAGGGTCAAAGTTGTTGGTATCCAAAGAAAGGTCTTGTCATAAGGATTACACAGGTGAAATATTAAAGCCCTAGCACCAACTGTTCAAAAGTTATAGCCAAGGTTAAAGTTTGGTTAATTAAAATTAAGCCAAACTGGGTCAAACTCCAAGGTCAAAGTCAAAATATCAAATATGGTGATACCCAAAGAAAGGTCTTGTCACAAAAAATACACATGTGAAATATGAAAGCCATAGCTCCAACCAATCAAAAGTTATGGGCAAGGTTAAAGTTTTTGCGGATAGACAGACAGACAGACAGATAGCTAGACAGACAGACGGACGGACAGGGCAAAAACGATATACCCTCGAATCTTCGATAGGGGGGCATAAAAAAAAACTGTTCAATTCTAAGCTGTTTTGAAGAAAAATGAGGATTCCAACTTAAGATATATTGGGAAGTTTACGTTTTACTTTCAAAATAACATGCAAATTCAAAGAATTGTGGTCCCCCGCTTTCGGTTTCTTAGTGGTTTGGATGATTTTATGGCATAATTTAACTGTCTTGTTTGTGTGTCCTTCAAATTTACAGATCAAGGTCATGAAGTCAAAAATTAAAATATCTGAAGTGTGTTGTCATAGGTAATGTACATGTAAAAAAAAATTAAAGCCCTATCTTCTCTCATTCAAAAGTTCTTATCTATTTTTTTTTTTAAAAATGAAAAAAAAAACTGTACGCTAAAGTTACAGGTCAAGGTCACGAGGTCAAAAACCAGAGTACATTCGGAAAGGTTTTGAAACAGATGATGCACATGACATATAATTGCCCTATCTTCTCTCATTCAAAAGTTATCAGCAATGTTAAAATTTTAGAAAATTAGGTCAAACTTCAAGGTCAAAGTCATAGGGTTAAAAATCATAGTACATTTAGAAATGTCCTGTAACAGGTAATGCACACGTAAAATATAAATGCTCATCTTCTCTCATTCAAAGATTAGAAACATTTTTCAAAATTAGGTCAAACTTCAATGTCAAGGTCACGGGTCAAATATCATAGCACATTTGGAAACTTCTTGACACGGGTAATGCACATGTCAAATATGAACGCTCTATCTTTTGTCATTCAGAAGTTATAACCAATGTGAGAATTTTTCAATCAAAGGTCAATCTTCAAGATCACGAGATCAAAAATCATGGTATACTAGGAAAGGTCTTGTCACATGTTTTGTTTGTTGTTTAATGTCCCTTTCGAGAATTTTCACTCAAGTCATCACTTGCCGGTGGAGAGCTGCAAATTTAGAGCTATACTCGGCACTTAGGGCCATTGAGCAGTGAGGGATCTTTTTCATGCAAACACCTACTGCGACACGGGACCTCGATTAATACAGTCTCATCCGAAAAACCGGTTTCCACGTCCTGCAGTGGGATTCGAACCCGCGACGTGATCACTCCGCGACTCTAGAGCAAACGCTCTAACCAATGCGCCACGCGGGCGA